AATTAGGGTTTAGGGTTCAGGGTTGAGGGCAAGGGGGTATGTAACTCAAGGTCCCTAATAAGGCTGCATTCCCAGAGAATGATAGGGTTCTTAAGGGAAGGGTTTCAAGGGTTTAGGGTTTTGGGGTTTAAGTTAATTCAAGGTTGCCACTACTCCCTAGGTACCTGCCACCCATGAAGCCCCTCCCTTAAGAACCCGTTCAAGATATTGAGGGTCCTTGGGGCTTACAGGAGGGGTTTAGGGTAATTAAGGGTTAGGGTTTAGGGTTTAGGGTTTAGGGTTTAGGGTCTAGGGTCTAGGGTCTAGGGTTTAGGTGTATAGGGTTTCGGGTTTCGGGTTTCGGGTTTAGCGCGTTTAGGGTTTTAGGGTTTAGGGACCCGAAGTAGTGGAGCGTTACATGCCAAATGCTAGATCACGGAACGGCCCGAAGGCCGGTTCAAGCGACCCGAAGATCCTAAACCCTCAACCTGTTGAGAGGTGCTAAGGCCCATAATCCCCTCCTCCTAATACGAACCCCCCCCCCCCCCGCCCCGCCTCTACCCCCTGATATTAAATACCCCCCCGGCCATATATACTAGAATATAACCATAGTGGGGGTATTCTATCTTAGGGGGTCCTGGGGGGGGGTGGGATGAATAAGGCTTGGTAAGATCTCAGGGCATCTTCCTCCTAGACCCCGAAACACTGAACCTCAGAGCCCCCCCAACCCTAAACCCCAGACCCCAAACCCTCAAACCAAAAAACCGAAACTCTTTCCACAAACCGGCGCGCAAGGCCTCGCGGACCTCGGGCGCAAGGCACCGTGGCGACGCGAGGTCAAGCAGCCTCTTCGTGCGAACGAATTTTGGGGGCGGGGTCGTTTAGTGGGTTTAGGGTTTAGGGTTTCCGAAAATAATAACGCCTTTGGGCCCAAAAAACCATGAAATAAGTCCTTGGAGCCCTAGGGCAAAGGATTTAGGGCTGCGAGGGCACAGGAGGGCTTCCGTGCTTTAAGGTTTTTGGGACCTCTTTAAGGGCTTTAGTTTTCTTTCGGAGCCCTTTTAGGGTTTGTCCGGGATTTTCGGCATGGCCTGTGTCCGGCCAACTTTTCTTGTATCCATGACACCTAGAAGACGAAATGAAGAGGTTTATGATGGAACAACGGAACCTTAGGATGCTCTTATACTAACAGTCCTTAATGGTGTTTTTTGTGCCCCTATTCTAATCCCCACTAAGGACTGCTAGTATAAGGGGGAACATCGTAAATGGAACCTCTCCCGGAAAGAAGGGAAGAAGGGCAAAGGGTACTACTTGCTGCCATGAAGACGTCACAGGCAGCCACCCAACGTTCATATCGAATTCAGTCTGAATACGAGTTTTGCCGGGGCCGTGTACAAGCAGGGGATAGGATTAGGGGGACCCTTGGGGATATAGACCCTGTGAATCAGATCCCTTTTTAAGAGAGCCAGAAAAGGGTTCAGAAGGGTTCCTTTTTAAGGTGTCCCCCTTATCCTACCTAGTAAAAGTTTTCCAGAGGGCCGTTTCCCAACGCTTGCTGGATAGCAGCCAGGGATGTATCCCTCGGGCACATAAATGGCCCTAAACCTAAACCCCAAAACTCTCTTACAGGGTATGGCTTTGGGGGCCTAAACCCCCCGCCAAAAAAGGGACATCACAATTAATAGAGCCTTAGGGTACTGTTGGCATCTGCAGGCTTGCCCATGGGTTCGTGTCCTCAAGTGCCCTAGGGCGCCTGACTGCCCAACACGGCTGCACCCGTGCCGCGAGCTCTTCGGACGGGGTGTCCTGCCTGGGACTTGACTTGGTTGAAACCATCTGAACGCCCCACGACTAAACCCTGAACTCTGCAAAACAGGCCCACACAAAAAGATCCGAAACCCTTTACCCCCAACAGACCACTAAACCTGAACTTAGCTAAGCCCCTGAATCCTAAATCCGAAATCACTCCAAAAACGCACAGAGTTCAAAACAACACGCCGGGACGCCACCGACAGGATGGCAAGGATACCCGGAGCAGCCGGGTCACGTTCTGGCCGGGCTTATTCGTACTGGGTTTCGGGGTTTAGGGCTTGGGGTGCAGCTTCTGGGCTTAAGGTGTAGGGTGTAAGGTTTAGGGTGTAAGGTGTTTTGGGTTTAGCGTCTACGGCTTAGGGTTTAGGCATCTGGTCATGTGAGAAGTGGTTGCTGGAGCCTGTCTAGCCATTCTTGTTTACAAGGCTGAAAAAGTATGAGAGAATCACTTATCTAAGCGTAGATGCGTGGTCCCAGAATATGGGCCCTTAATAAATGGAGGAAAACGGGTCCTTAATAAATGGAGGACCCCTTGTATACCCCTGATATACTTTATAAAACCCGAGGGCCCATACTTCTGAAGCTGTTAAGCAGGTCAGGGACAACATTCGGGAACCATGTAACTACCCTTAGAACTTCGCCCTAGTACAGCTAAAGATCTCGAGACTTTGGCGCTTGAAACCCTAAACCCTAAACCCTAAACCCTAAACCCTAAACCCTAAACCCTAAAGGAAGTGTTGGGGCGTTGAGGGGTCTCGGGGCTCAGCGGCGTTTCATCGGGTGGACACGAAGAGAGGGCTTCAAGAGCCAACTTGGGGGAGTTGAGGGTTTAGGGTGGGGATGTTTGCTCCTTATACTAAGAACCCTTCATAGGGATTGCAACAGAGGGCACTATCATCTCCATTCAGGACTGTTAGTCTAAGGGGAACATCCCCAAGTTTAGGGTTGAGGGTTTAGGGTTCGAAGGGGCTTTCTTTAACTACACCCTAAACCCTAAACCCTAAACCCTAAACCCTAAACCCTAAACCCTAGACCCTAAACCCTAAACCCTAAACCCTAAACCCTAAAAAGGCAATACCCTGAAAAAACCCTAAGGATGAGAGCCTGCTTCCGCCCCAGAAATCCTCACGCGATCCCAACAGCCCTGGAGGCCGAATGCCTCAAGCCCGAAAGCCCTGCAACTCCCAAGCCCTCATAAAGGGCCCTAACCCTAAACCCTAAACCCTAAACCCCAAACCCTAAACCCTAAACCCCAAACCCTAAACCCCCAAAATATCCGAAAGCCTCCCCCCCCCCCCCCCCCCCCCGAAGCCCTGAACATCCAAAGCTCCTCGACGAACAAAGCGCTCATAAACCCAATAAGGGTTAATGTATGGGTAGTTCTCTAAATCGGGTCCCCGTTTTTCGGTGCTATATAACGTATATATATATATATATATATACAGTATGTATATGTATATATATATATACAGTATGTGCATATATATATATACAGTATATATACAGTATATAAACAGTATATATACAGTATACATACAGTATATACACAGTATACAGCACCCTAAAAATGAGGACACCCCAAAAGACAACAGGTAAACTAACTTAGAGAGCTACCCATATACAAATGTAACAAGGTCCTATAGCATTCACGCCGCCGCTGACTCTTTACCCTGAACTGTGGGCGGGGGGCCCTCGTCCGGCGACAGCCGAAGAAGGCCTGGCTACAGGAATGCAGTTGGGGGGTGGGGCGGTTCAGTTGGTGGGTTTAGGGTGTATAGGGTACAGGTTATAGGTTTGAGGGCTTCTGGGGCTTAAGGAATACGAGGTGCCAACCGGGAAGAAAGCAGAGGTGAGATCCAGGGCATCCTGTTTTCCCCTAAGCCCGGTGTGATCTTCTGCTGGGGCGCCTTTGTCCATCCACCGCGCCCCCGACCTAGATGTAGGATGCCCCGAAGATGTACTCGAAAACCTAAACCTTCAACCCTAAACCCTAAAGCCCAGCAACCCTGTTTGTCTCTGAGGCTTAGTTTCAGGCTTCCTTGGGAGGCAATCGCAGAGTAAGCGACTCCATTCTCGGAACTCTCTCCCCCACCCACCAAACAAAAGAAGAATACACCCAATAAATAAACAACAAAGCCCGAAGCTCTAGGGTTTAGGGTTTTAGGGTTAGGGCTTAGGGCTTAGGGCTTAGGGCTTAGGGCTTGGGGTTTGGGGTTTAGGGTTTAGGGTTTAGGGTTTTGGGTTTAGGGTTTAGGGTTTTGGGTTTAGGGCCTAAAGAAAAAACCACGTCTGGCCTGACAATTGCGACAGAGCTCCGGAGCGTTGTCGGAATGGCCGCCGGACTCTAGTAAGTCCAAGCAGCGCTTGGTCTTCCTCCAAGAACTGTCACTTACTAACACAGCTGTGCTAGACATACATATCTATATGTATATACAGAGATATATAGATATATGTATATATATAAACATACATACATGTGTCTCTCTTATTTATTTATTGTTTTGTTTCTTCTCCGTTTCGAGGGGGTGGGGGTGCAGGTAGGATGTACTGTGCGGGGATGGGTTCGGGTTTAGGTTGCTGACGATGTGTTGCTTAAATTTTAGGGGGGGAGGGGAGGGAGGGGTAGAGTTTGGGCCTAAACCCTCAACCCCAAAACTCAACCCTCAACCCTAAACCCTAAGCCGTAAACCTTGGCATTCTTTGGGGGTAGACGAATAGGGTTTAATTAGGGTTTTGGGCAACAGGGAAGCAGAAGCACACGCACAGTGGCAGTGGCAGACACACACACACACACAGACACACAGACACACAGACACACAGACACACAGACACACAGACACACAGACACACAGACACACAGACACACAGACACACACACACACACACACACACACACACACACACACACACACACACACACAAGGGCTTCGGGTCAAGTGCTGGTGGTCCTGTCACGCCCACGAGTCGGTACTTGCTTGAACTAGGGCTCAGGGAGTACGGTTGAGGGTCGGGATGCTACGATTCTTGGGAAAACTGGACTACAACCCCTACAAGACCCAAAGGGGAACCCCGGGCCTTGATAACTAGGACAGGGTCTTGGGGGGGGTTATTCTAGTATAATTGCAAGGAACAATGAGCGAATACTATTAGTAAATTGTTCCGACCCCTATTTTTAAGTCCCAGGCGCTTGCTCTTGAAGCGCTGTGAGGTCAGCCCAAATCCAGAAAGCAGATGTCGCACTGTCTCCACCTCCAGTTCATCAGATCTCGGGGTTCCTCTAGGCCCCCCTAAAACTTAGTTGCTGAGTTCATAAGCCCCCAAGTCCACTTTTCAGTTTTATAGTGGATTATAGTATCCCAAAAATTGTCAAGTGTACTCATTCAGCTACTAAGAAAACCCCCTAAAACTCTACAGCCCTAAAGCCCTAAAGCTCTAAACCCGATACCCTAAAGCCTAAACCCTAAGCCTGACAGCTTTAGAACGCTGAGGTATCTGAGGGCTTTGCGGGTGCCTTGCAGGTTTTGGGTTTTTGGAACCCTGGCTTTGGGGTTCTGATTTTCGGTAGGCTTTCAGAGATATGCACCCTAAACCGTGAACCCTGAACCCTAGCTATAGCCCTCAACCCTCTAAACCCTAAACTTTGAAAAACAAAAACTATAAACCCTAAACTGTTAAACCCTATAAGCCCTGCACCCTATAAACCCTGCACCCTATAAACCCTGTAAACCCTATAAACCCCACTAAACCCTACTAAACCCTACTACACCCAATAAACCCTGTAAACACTATAAACCCTACAAACCCTGTAAACCCTACAAACCCTATTCACCCTATAAACCCTATTAACCCTATTAACCCTATAAACCCTATAAACCCTATGAACCCTAAACTTCAGAGTTGAAAGGGTGTAAGCTCCAAGGGGTCTTGGGAACTTACCCCGCGGCCAATGAGGGCTTAGGGTTTAGGGCGTACAGCTAAGGGTTCCCTAAACCCTAAACCCTAAACCCTCAACCCTCAACCCTAAACCCTAGAGGACTTAGAAGGCTCCGGAATCATCGGGTGCAGAGTTGCTTAGGGTTGCTAGAGGGCTTAGGGGTGCTAGAGGGCTTCAAGGCTCCTGAGTCTCGAGTCGGTGTCAGCTCCTGTTGAAGAGACTCAACTCGCTACCTCGAAGCCGGGGTAAACATGCTAGGCACGCATTTTACCATACACACATACACTAGACCCAGGAGTAACCTAGGAATGAAAGGGTACCCTTTGTGGTTTTAAGAGGGTTCAAAGGGAACCCCAGTTCTACAATAAAGGAAGTAAGGGCCTAGTCCGGGTCCTAGCAGACATGTATACAGATACCTTGCAACAATGTACAGCCCTGTCGCCTCTGTGGTAGAAGATGCTAAGGGATCAAGACCAGCCTCTTCCGACTCTGGATAGGACGCCACAAGACGCCCTAAACCCTATAACCCTACAACCGCAAAACCCTAAAACTGGAAACCCTAAACCCTAAACCCTAAAACCCCGTAACCCTATCACCCTAGAACCCTAGAACCCCGTAACCCTATAACCCTTTAACCCTATAACCCTAAAATCGTTCAACCCTTCGGCTGCGGTGCCTTCTGGTTCTAAACCCTAAGGGCCTTGGACCCTAAGCTTGCTGGGATTAGGGTTTAGGGTTTAGGGTTTAGGGTTTAGGGTTTAGGGTTGAGGGTTCTTGGGGTTTTGGGCTTCGGGTTTCGGGCTTCGGGTTTAGGGTTTAGGGTCAAGGAATGAGGGCGTCAGGTGTCCCCGTACATCTATCCTGCTTACTTGTGGAGGGTGCCTACTTCCCCTCATTTCCTGCCAAGAACCAGAAGGTATAAAATGCCCGAAAAGGATGCCTCCTGGTTGAAATCCCCGGCAGGCAAGCCTTCGGGGGGGGGGGGGGGGGGGTGTTCGGCCGCTGTGAACGGCTGAGGGGTTTAGGGTTTAGGGCTTAGGGTTTCGGGTCTAATATTAGGCGTCGGAAGAATTACTTATGGTCCCTATATAATGATACAAAAGCAAGTTCTAATTGCTAAGGCCCCAAACTCTAAACCCTAAACCCCAAACCCTAAACCCCAAACCCTAAACCCCAAACCCCAAACCCTAAACCCTAAACCCCAAACCCTAAACCCTAAACCCTAACTAAGGTTTCAATGCCGGGCTTAAGGGGGGGTTTGGCGGCTGAGGGAATCGGGGATCTGCTCAGCTTTCCCAAGAGGTAGAGGCTAGAGCCAACCTCTGGCTTCCAAAAGGTTTAGGGTTTAGGGTTTAGGGTTTAGGGTTTAGGGGTCAGGGTTTAGGGTTTAGGGTTTGGGGTTTGGGGTTTAGGGTTTAGGGAGGGATTGGGGGGGTTTAGGCTTGAGGCTTTAGGGTTCAGGGTTAAGGATTTAGGGGGGGGGGGGGATTCCGGGGGTTGGAAATTTCTCCAGAAGGTTGAAGGATGACCACTTAGACCTTGGCCCCTTTCTCTCAAATGTGGTCCCCGTTTTCGTGTTGACTTGTGATCGGCATCCGAGTAAGCGTCAAGGAGTATGCCTTAAACGGTTTTGGGCTCTGTGTGTAAATTGGCATCTGTGCATGAGAGTTAAGGAATTGTGCTGAACTAAGCGGTTTTGGGACTTCTGATGAAGCCTCTATCAGGTAACTCTCGGATGCTCGAGGTTTAGCATCTTAGGTTCAGGGTTTGAGTAGCATCTCAGGTTCAGGGTTTGAGTGACAAGCTTTGGCCTGAAGCTGTCACCATGATGTATGTTTTCAATAGGCAGAACACAGTGTATGCTGATTCAGAGGTGTCGTCAGATCCTATCATGAGGCGCTGCCGTGCGTGCCGTGCGGGGAGCAGCAACTTCTCAATGGCCGTGAGCTGAATGCGCGAGCTCAGTGTGGCCACAGCTCAACGCGCAATCGAGGGCTGTCCGGCTCAACTGGTCCTGCTTGCGAGTGTCAGCACGGGCTTCAAGCAGCAATCGTACGGTCTCAGCATAGTTAGCCAATGACGCTTCCATCAGGGCTGTACGGCCATTCATATCCTGCACATCCTTGTCCGCACCCGCTTCCAGCAACAACCGCACACTCTCAACATCTGAGTAGGCACTGCCACTCCGGTTGCTCAGCTTCCTCATCTTCTTGCGGGGGGGACTCGCCGCCCAGAGCAGGGCTGTGCGGCCGCTGTCGTCCTGCAGACCCTTGTCAGCAGCGGCTTGAAGGAGCAAGCGAACTGTGGCAGGGTGGCGATTGGCCGATGCCTTAGCTTTGGAGTAGACCCTGGAAAAAACGTATATACTTTTTAGGTATAGCTATTATAGGAATCCAGAACCAAAAAAAGTATTAAAGTGTAGTACTGCAAAACCCAGTAGCGGAAATGAGGGCAGTCTTGCCAAAGCCATCTTGGATGTCCTTGTCCGCATTGGCTTCCAGCAGCAACCGAACGGTTTCAATGTGGCCGTTCGACGAGGCTAGAATGAGAGCTGTGCAGCCGTCTCCATCTTGCAGCCGCATGTCGGCACCAACTTGAAGCATCCTTATCTGATCACCCCCTTGGAACTACATGTTTGGGTCCCTTGTATTATAAGTAGAACAACGAACTTTTCAAGATAAAATGCTCAATTGTGGTCCATCATCAGCCGTGCACTGTCAACTTGGCCATGTTCACACGCGTAGAGCAAGGCAGTCTTGCCGGAGATGTCCTGCACATCTTTGACAACACCAGCTTCCAGCAGCAGGCGGGCAACCTCGGCGTGGCCATTTCGACAGGCGCAGATAAGGGCTGTCCTGCCAGATGCAACCTGCACATCTTTGTCAGCGCCTGCTTCCAGCAGCAACTGGGCGACATCAATGTGGCCGTTTCCACAGGCGCAGACAAGGGCCGATCTTCTTTGGAAGTCCACCCGTGCATCCTTGTCGGCACCAGCCTGAATCAGCAAACGCGCGACCTCGGCGTGGCCATTTTCACAGGCGCGGACAAGGGCCATTATGTCGGCACCGGCGTTGCCCAGCAGGCGCTCTGCCTCCGTGTGACCGCGTTCGCGCGAGCAGGCCTCTTGAATCCCCGCCTTCAAGAGAAAGCGGGCAGCTTCAACATTGCCCGTAGAGGCAGCAAAGTTAATAAGCTCGTCGGAGGCTTCGCGCTTCTGCTCGGCGTCGGCAATGGCTGACAGCACCAACTGCAAGTCCATAGGTGCAGTCCTATACTCAGAAAATAATATTTGTTTTATAACCCCTTGGGTTTTGTATGAACAAAAATAAAAAACAATTCCCAATTTTATACCCCCTTGGGTTTTGTATGAACAAAAACTAAAAAATGATTCCCAAGGGGAATGGAGAGTCAGCTTGGCAGTGTCATCCAGCCTGTGACCCTCATGCATGAGCTGCTGCAAGCACAGCGGGAAGCCATGCACCCAACGCAGCTGCTGCTTTAAAGCTCTCACGTCATCGAGCTCCTCCGCTGTTGTGCAAACCGGCTGACCTGAAACACTCCAAACACGCAGCATGGGGTACTCCATCGCCGGGCGACGACTTTGACAGCTTTCCCGGTTGCGATTCGGACTTCTCGCAAAATGACTTGTACCTCCCGCTAGGTGCTACGGATCAGACGCAGCCTAGCCAAGTTCGTAAGGCCGCTGGCTCGAGCGGTCTCCAAAAGGCTGGGATCTAAACTTTGTATACTGAGGCCGGAAAGACACCAAAAGCATTGCAAGCAAATCACAGCTGAGCACATGGGTAGGAGTCATCAGAGTTTCGCGCAAGTTCGGCCTCAACAACTCTCATGGAACCCGGCAAGAGCCCCGCAACTAACACAGCATGCTACATCTAGAGCATTCGACATGTTCCACCCAACGAGAACACCCTCCAAGACACGGGGATCATCCGAAGCCCTGGGCCTATAAACCCTGAGCCCTAAACCCTAAACCCTAAACCCTAAACCCTTGAACCGAAACCATCAACGTCCGCCCTAGCCAGGAAGCCTGCTGGCAACGGCGCCAGCAGGTGATACAATGGGACAGCCCTTGACAGGAGGTTTGTGGGCGTTTGTAGGATTTCTAGGAGGGTTTAGGGTTTAGGGTTTAGGGTTTAGGGTTTAGGGTTTAGGGGGGATTGGGCTTATGGCTACGGGATTAGGGCTGGGGGCTTTGGGGCTTGATCTTTTTGAGTTTGCAATTGCGCGCGGGCTGTCTGTAAAGGGCTGGAGCCTTCGGCGGCAGTTTAGGACTCTTTTTGGTCGTGTTACATGATGCAAGGTTTCAGGGCTTCGGGCTACGGCTTCGAACTTTGGCCCTTTTGAGTACGTAAGTGCATCCAACCCTTAGCCTACACACAAAGGTCAACAAGCATGAAGGCATACAAGAATTAGTGGCCTCCAATCTATACGATGCCTTGGGATGTTCCCCCTTATACTAACAATCCTTAATAGGAAAAGCGTACCCCCCTACTACCATCCCTATAGGCGGAACATCCCACACGATACCCATCATCTAGGTCCCCCCCGAAACCACCCTGAGGGGGCACCATGTTTCGGTTGAATGCCTCTAATTACTACCTTTTGCTTAGAAACCCCCTCAAAAAAAGAAGATACCCTTGTAAGGAAGAATATTTTTAAGCAATTAGTAGTCCAAGAAAAGCGGGGTGGGATACCGGCATCCTAGAAATTATGGTTGTGCCAAACCACACTTGGCCAGAATAACAGCTAGGATCTTAGGACTTTGACTTAGTTGCTGAGTTCAGAGGCCCCACAAAAAGTGTACACTTTCAGTTCTATTGGGGATTATAGTCTCCCAAAAAGTGGGAAGTGCAATCAATCAGCTACTAAGTTAAAGCCTTGGGGAGGAAGGACTTAAAGACTGCTGGGCACAGGGTTAAGGGGTGTTAAAGGGTTTAGGGTTTAGGGTTAAGGGACGGGTTTTAGTTCTCGGGCTTAATGTAGGAGCCTGACAAATTAGAATAGGGATTTTTTTTGTTTTTTTTGGGGGGGGTTGTTATAGTATAATTGTAAAGGGACCAGAAGGGAATATGATATGATATAAATATTCCGACCCCTGTATTGAAGGGATTGGACTCTTGCGGACCAGTGGCTCGGCCACCAAGGCATTTCCGTAGATCTCGCCCACGGATGGCTCCTGGGGGGGCTTTGTAGCCCTAAACCCTGCACCCCAAACCCCAAACCGCAAACCCCAAACCCCAAACCCCAAACCCCAAACCCTAAACCCTAAACCCTATACCCTAAACCCTAAACCCTAACCCGAAACCCTAAACTAAACCCTAAACTTTACCCGGAACCCTAAACCCCAACCCTAAACCCTAAACTTTACACCCGAAAACCTAAACCCTAAACGCCAAACCCTTTATCGTAACAAACTCCACCAAAGAGGCCTTTCATCTTGACCGAACCAAGGATCCTTTTTGCTCTGAACCGCTAAACTCCAAAGTGCGGGAGGTTTAGGGTTTAGGGTTTAGGGTTTAGGGCTTAGGGCTACTAGACCCAAGAGTAGACAAGGAATAAAGAAGGGTAACCTTTCTGGCTAACAGGGGCTTATCAGGCAACCCAAACCCTACGTAAAAATAGGACTCTGGGTCTTGGACTACTATTTTGCTTACGAACCACTCAGGAAAAAACACATTCTTCCTTGAAAAAGTATGTAGGAAGTATTGTTCTTCATTTTCTGAGGTGGCTCTTAAGCAAATAATAGTCAACCCGAAAACCTGAGCCCGAAACCCTAAGCCTCGTCTCATTTGGTGGAGGAGACGTAAGGTCAACGTAGGGCTGAGGGCTTAGGGGTTTAGGGGTTTAGGGTTTAGGATTTAGGATTAGGGTTTAGGGTTTAGGGGCTTCTAGGTCCTGAGCAGCCAACAAAACAAAACCCCAGCGTGGACCCAGAAAGGCATCTCTGTGTCTTTTGCATAGGGGAAGCCTTATAGCCAGGGTTGACGATGCAAACAAGTCTTCAAAGTTGAGGGTTTAGCGCCCTTATCGTTCCCCCTAACTCCTAAATGCCAAAAACTACCCTGCCTAAATCCTGGACCCCAAGCACTAAGCCCTCCAACAGCCCAAACACCACAGCCCTGAACCCCAGGCACTAAACCCTCTCTACACACAAAACACGTAACCCTGAACCCTAACCCTAAACCCCTTACTAAACACCCAACACTAAACCCTGAACCCTTAACCCGAATTTCCGGGATTTCGGGGCCAGGGAGCTCCAGTACCCCTCGAGGGTTGAAGTACCCCGAAAGCAACCCTTTTAGACCCAAACCCTAAACTCTCAAACCCAAATTTCCCAAGGGCTTAGGGATTAGGAGGAGGTACCCTGAGGCCCGTATGATGTGGTACTTGCGGGGGTGCAGGTAGGGCTTTCGGGCTTAGGATTCATCCCAAACTTGAGGGTTCCCCAGTTTGGGATAACCCACGAACACCGTAAGTCTGAAAGGGTTTAGGGTTTATGAGGTTTAGTGTCCTTCTATGGGAACCTCACATTGAAAAAGCAAATGCCACAAGTAAGGGTCTTCGACGCTGCCTTCTGTCCCATACGCCCATCTGACACGCCGAGAGCCTTTGGCGACGCACGATTGTTATTTTAGGGAAGCCATTCACACCCTACAGACTTATACGCCCTTTTACTCAACTTCGAATTCACAAATAAGGCCCGACAGAAACCCTCTTGGAGCTAAGTCTTTAAACCCTAAACCCTAAACCCTAAACCCTAAACCCTAAACCCTGAACCCTAAACCCTAAACCCTAAACCCTAAACCCGAAACCCTAAACCCTAAACCCTAAACCCTAAACCCTAAACCCTAAATCCTAAACCCTAAACCCTAAACGCCATCGCGACGCTGTCGCTCCTCGAAGACGCTGCGAACCGCGCGCCAGACCCGCTTGAGATCCCGGCCTTCCTGGCTCAAATAGGGTTTAGGGTTTAGGGTGTAGGGTTTAGGGTTTAGGGTTTAGGGTTAGGGTTTAGGGTTTAGGGTTTAGGGTTTAGGGTTTAGGGTTTAGGCTTTGGGCTTTGGGCTTTAGGCTTTAGGCTTTAGGCTTTAGGCTTTAGGCTTTAGGCTTTAGGCTTTAGGCTTTAGGCTTTAGGCTTTAGGCTTTAGGGTTTAGGGTTTAGGGTTTAGGCTTTAGGCTTTAGGGTTCAGGGTTTAGGTATTGGGGTCGAGGGTTGCTGGAAAAGAGACTCCTTAGACCCACGACCCTACATAACTATATATATATATATATATATGTTCGAATTGACATGCATCCATAATATGTATATATATATATATATGTATATGCATATGTATATGCATATGTATAGGTATATGTATATGTATATGTATATGTGTGTACTTAAACATGTATCTACACAACACACACACACACACACCTCATCTAGCCTTCCTAAGGCAGCTCTGCAACATGACCCCAGGGCCCCTTTCCAGGGTCCCCTGAGGTGTGTGCCAAAAAACCCTTGGCTTGATTGGCCTTTCCTTCTGTGGTCGCAATTCGGGCTGAGGGTTTTTGGGGGCATCTGAAACTCTACACCCTCAACCCTAAACCCTAAACGCTAAAAACCCTAAACAATGGGTGCCATCGCGTCAAGAGCCGCAAGCTCAAAGCCCCCAAGCTGCACTCCCAAAGCAACTAATCAGCTGGTTCTTAGGAGGGAAAGAGGGAATAATGAGGTACCCAATATCCCTAAACCCTAAACCCTCAGCCCTAAGCCCCCCCATATACACCCTTCAAGGGAGTATGTAGGGCACCTGATTCCCCCTGTCCCTACTAGGAACCAGGGGAAAAAATCTTGAGCCCCCACCCTAAACGTCTCAACCCTGGACAGCCCTTTGGGGTTTAAGGTTTAGGGTTTGGGGTTCAGGGCTTGCCAGCCCAAACTTTGAAACCAAAAGCCCCGCATTGCATCCCGTTCCTGTCGCTCAATCTTTGTCGGAAGTTTGGTCGTGAAGGAATCGGCGTAGTCCTTTGAACGAGATTGGGGGATCGCACAAAGTTGAGGTTTTGAGGGCTTTAGGATTCAGGGGAGTAGGGCCGCAGGTGTCGAGAGTTTAGGGGCTTAGGGGTTTGGGGTTTTGGGGATTGGGTCAGAAAGGAGGGCATTGAGATCCAGGATCTTTTAAGGGGCGTGCCTCAGAGCTTCCGGAACGCATGTTCTTGCAGGGGCTGAACAGCCACCTCAACCCTGAACCCAAAGGCTCTTAGGTGCCTTCTTTGGGTAGTCCCGAAACCCTAAACCCTAAACCCTAAACCCTAAACCCTACACCCATACTAGAGAATCTCCTACCGCCAGCCCAAAAGGAACTACGTCAGAGCATTCAGGCGAACCCTGAAGCCCCCTCAGCAAAACCAGGTTCTGTAAACTTATAGGGGGTAGGGGGTTTAGGGTTTAGGGTTTAGGGTTTAGGGTTCAGCATCTCTGGTCCAAGCATTCACTAGTTGAGCAGCTTTCAAGGCCACAGGGGAATACCCACCCGCCCATTGGGTCCCACACCATTAGGAAAAATATCCAACCTCCTTCTTCTCTAGGCACGTGGTCAACAGAATGGATTTGTTAACCACATGTGTTTGTTTCAAGCGGACAAGAAAACCAAACGTGGTCAACAGAATGGATTTGTCAACCACATGTTTCTGTTTCGAGCGGACAAGAAAACCAACGTGGTCAACAGAATGGATTTGTTAACCACATGTTTCCATTCGGGAACTTATTCTTTGGAAGCCATCTTGAGTTCTTGAGTCGTTTGAGGGGCTTCAGGGGCCTCAAAAACAGGCGCGGTCATTCGGGAACTTATTCTTTGGAAGCCATCTTGACTTTTTTGCGGGGCTCCAGGGGGGGGGGGGGGCGGGGGGGGCGGGGCGGGGGGGGGCGGGGGGGGGGGGAGGGGGGGCGGGGGGGGGGGCGGGGGGCGGGGGGGGGGGGGCGGGGGGGGGGGGGGGGTGGGGCGGGGGGGCGGGGGGGGTGGGGGGGGGTGTGGGGGGGGTGGGGGGGTGGGGGGGGGTGGGGCGGGGGGGGGGGGTGGGGGGGGGGGACCTTGCCCACTTTTTTGACCTTGCCTTTGCTTGACCTTGCCCGCTAAATATATGACCTTGCCCGCTAAATATAGGACCTTGCCCGCTAAATATAGGACCTTGCCCGCTAAATATAGGACCTTGCCCGCTAAATATAGGACCTTGCCCGCTAAATATAGGACCTTGCCCGCTAAATATATGACCTTGCCCGCTAAATATATGACCTGGGCCATATATTTAGCGGGCAAGGTCATATATTTAGCGGGCAAGGTCCTATATTTAGCGGGCAAGGTCATATATTTAGCGGGCAAGGTCATATATTTAGTGGGCAAGGTCGCCCTTTAGCGGGCAAGGTCATATATTTAGTGGGCAAGGTCTTTTTTTAGCCAATGGACCTTGCCCACTAAATATATGACCTTGCCCGCTAAATATATGACCTTGCCCGCTAAATATATGACCTTGCCCGCTAAATATAGGACCTTGCCCGCTAAATATAGGACCTTGCCCGCAAAGTCATTAACATTTATATTATATATGAAAGAGTGGTTTAGGGTTTAGGGCTTAGGGTTTAGGGGGTACGAAAACAAGGGACACCTATCATTGGCGTACAAATAGTGGGATTCGCTTATAAGAAGGACGCAGATGAGGTACCCCTGACATACTAGACCCCCATATGTAAAGTCAACCCAGACCCTCAACCTTCTCCCCTTATACAATCTAAGCCCCTAAACCTTTGAAACGTGAGGCACAAAACCCTAACCCTAACACCAAACCCTAAACCCTAAACCCTAAATCCTTATCCCTACCCTAAACCCTAAACCCTAAGCTGCCAGTACCAAATGGCCAGTTACAGCCGGGATAATTCTGTGTGCATGCGCCTCATGATATTCCGAACAAAACTCCACGCCAGGGATCCACCAGCCCCTTCTCCACGAGTTTGAGGTGTTCGAGTTCGTTCGATGTACGCTTCTTGCCGCCCGTGATGTCCTCCCAATGGCTACATGGGGCAACTTTGGGTTCAAGGGCTTAAGGGGCTTATAGGGTTAAACCCTGAACCCCAAACCCTTTTAAACCCTAAGCCCTAAACCCTAAACCCGCAAGGGAGTGAGTGTAGGGGCTTAGGGCATGAAGGGCTTTCTTGGAGGTTCATGGTACTTACTAACCAATTATAACTGTACTTATAACCCTACTTATAATATGTACCCCTAAAGGGCCTTGTAGGGGTTATCCCACTTAAAAGTAGGGTTATAAGTACAGTTCTAATTGGTAAGTAAGTACCATGAACCTTCAAGTTGGGGGCTTTTGAGGGCTAATAATTAAGGTGCTTGCCCTGTTGACGGTGCTTACTGCAACGTGTTTGCAGGGTTTTAAGGTTTTGGATTGGAACGTTCCCCCTTATACTGACTGTTCTTTATAGGGATTATAGTACCCGCTACTATAATCCCAATTAAGGACTGTTAGTATAAGGGGGAACATCCCAAGCTTCGGAGTTCATGCAGGATTTGGGATTTGGGTTTTGGGGGGTCTGGCGCGGCATTCTGAGCGTGCCATGAATCCGGACAAGAACACCCAGAGGTCTGCAACACCCACTTAGACGACCAGCTACATTGCCCCAAAATATACCTTTGCCAATAAGCGCCTATAGGGTCTAGGGTTTAGGGTTTAGGGTTGCGGGTTGAGGGTTTAGGGTTTAGGGCCCTTAACCCTAAACCCATAAGTGCCCATTTACGAGGCCTCTAGAATAGGAGGTCGTTGGTCGCGTTTGGAAAACTGCTGAAAGCGCAAGCGTTTCGCACGCGACGCGGCATGCAGCCGAAGCATTCGCAGATTATTTTAGAGGACCCTCTTCAACAACCCATAAAGGGAACAACAAATGAATCCGCAAAAGCAAGAAATTAGGGAAGATTGGGTTTCAGGGTTAGGGTTTGTCTTTTAGGGTCCTAAGGGCTTACCTAGGTCCCACAGAATCGCTCCTGCCATGTCTGGCGAGTGATGCCGTAGGCCTGGTTAAAGTCTCTGGCATTGAACCCCGAAGGCTCCAAGGACTCTTCTTTTAAGGTTTTGGGCCCAAGGGTTTAGGGTTTAGGGCTAAGGCCTTGTTGTCCAAGGTTTTGGGCCCGTTTGAGCGTAAGGGCAGGGAGTGGTCGGGGTGTCAATTCTATGAGATGACGGTTGTGTTTTCGTGGCCTGGGGGGGCGGAGGTTCGGCACCTAAACCCTAAACCCTAAACCCTAAACCCTAAACCCTAAACCCTAAACCCTGAACCCTGAACCCTGAACCCTGAACCTTGCAACAGTTCAAGAGGCTGAAGGGACCCTTCTGGGCCCGAAGCCGTAAACCCTGAAGCCTGGCGCGGGATCAGGTCTCATTTGTCTTTGGTCACTGGTTCCCGAGCCACACGACACGACGCGACACCCTAAACCCTAAACCCTAAACCCTAAACCCTAAACCTACACCCCACACACACAGACAGAGGCGCCTGGCTCCAGGACCAAGGCGCAGCCTCCTCCGAGGGAAGTCGGCCTGGCCTGGCTCTCAGTTTAGGGCTTTGGGGGTGTAGGTTTACTGGGTGAAAATTACTTATGAATAGGTTCCCTTAAAAGGGAAAGAAGGGAAATTTAAACTTATCCCAAAGCAATACCCAGTTTAGGGTTAGGGTTTAGGGTTAGGGTTGAGGATTGAGGGTTGAGGGTTGAGGGCTGAGGGCTGAGGGCTGAGGGCTGAGGGCTGAGGGTTGAGGGTAGGGCTGAGGGTTGAGGGTTGAGGGCTGAGGGTTGAGGGCTTAGGGGTGTATAGGGTTTGGGGTGCAGGGTTTGGGGGGTGTAGGGTTTGGGGGTGTAGGGTTAGGGCTTAGAGTTTAGCTTTGCAGGCGCAAGAACCCGAATGTTGTCCTGATAGTGTTCGCACCCAATGTGATTGACGACCCCTTTGGGCTCGAAATAACCCCCCCCCAAAAAAACAAAGCAACAGCAAAGAACCTAAACCCAAAACTCTAAACAAACCCTGTACCCTACCCCCCCCCCGAAAATAATATAATAATGATAATAATAATAAAGCAGACCTAATTATCCACTTAGGGTGCTGTTGGCCGCAACAACCCTTGCTGAAACAAGAGTCCTCACAAAGCGAGATTATGTATAATGAGACCAACCAGCGAAATTTTGCCCTAAATCCTGAAACCCTAAACCTTAAACATGAAAATACCCCAAAACCTAAATCCTAAACCTTAGACCTTCAAATGCCGTAAAACCTAAACCCTAACCCCTAACTCGGCTGGTTTGGGGATTCAGTCCCTGTGCTTCTCTATGTCTCTTTCAGAGTTTGGGGCCTTGAGATTTCGAGGGCTTAGGGTTTAGGGTGTAGGGTTTAGGGTTTAGGTTTTAGGGTTCAAGGCTGGGTAGTCATACCCCCTAACTGCACTTATAAGGCCCCCTGAGTCCCCCTAAGTAGGTTATACGTAGACTTCTAAGTGGGTTGAGAAGTGCCCTAGATCCTAAACCATACACCCTGCAAGTGAGGGTTATAAGTGCCCCAGATCCTCAACTCTAAACCCTAAAGTGGTTGAAAGTACCCATGAACCTCCAAGTGCAGGTTGGCAGTGACTAGGGACTAGGGACTAGGGTTGGGTTTCATGTTGTGGGCTTTGTTGTTGTTTTTTTTTTTTTTTTTAATAGGGTTTATAGGGTTTGGCGATGCGGGAGGAGGTAGTCGGCTGACGACCGCACGCGAACAATCCAAGTGTACCCATTGCTTTCCATGTCCTGTTTGATGGTTTCCACCTCCGGTGGTTGCACATTCCCATCGGCATCCTTCTTGGAGTGGAGAACGGCGGCAACTGCACTGTAGAACTCGAGACTGGTGCCACCGGTCAGCTGCAGCACATGACATATAAACCCTAAACCCTAAACCCTAAACCCTAAACCCTAAACCCTAAACCCTAAACCCTAAACCCATCCTCAAACTGGGGAAGTGAGCTCTCAGCTAATTGCTTGGGATGTTCCCCCTTATACTAGCAGTCCTTAACAGGGATTAGATAAAGACTGATCCTATCCCTAAACCCTAAACCCTAAACCCTAAACCCTAAACCCTAAACCCTTAAACCCTAAGATTGTATGACGGGGGGGCATCCCAAGTTATTACGCGCTCGACCTTTTTGAGCTCTAAGGCTCTTCAGTTGCGCATCACTACTTCTGTGAACCAGCTCTCCAAACTCGCCCTCTGAGCTGTTCCAAAGCCGAACATGGGGACCCACAAATACTGGACCAAGGAAACCCTAAACCCTAAACCCTAAACCCTAAACCCTAAACCCTAAACCCTAAACCCTAAACCCAAGTGGGGTGCCCTCGTTTGGCTGCAAGGAGCTTTAAAGTTTTCAGGGGCACCTCAGCCCGTGAAAAAAGGGACTCAGGGGCCCACCCTGGGTCCCGGAGTATCCCAAGGGCCCAGCTTGGCAGGTCCAGAAGACTGCTCTTCAAAAACATCACCCAAAACCTACCAGTTGCTTAAGAACCCCCCCCCCCCCCCCAAAAAAAAAAAAAACTAAAAATTAAAAATGTAAATCTTCTTACTTCTTCCTTATAAGGGTAGGAAGGGGATTCTTATTCTTTGTTCTTTTTCCCCTAAGCAAATAGTAGACCCCTCTGTTTTGTGCAGGGCACCTATGGGTCATGATATGGAGGTTTCCGACATTAGGGGTACCTTATTGAGGTCCTTTTGATACGGGAAACCTGCTCTTTGGGGACTACTCAAGGGCTCCGCATGCGTAACCCCCCCTGTAAGCTCTTGAACATCAATCCCCGAACTGGATGAATATGCCTTCAACCATCCGAACATCCCCATACTCAAGTCGGATGAATGTTCTTTAACCCTAAACCCTAAACCCTAAACCCTAAACCCTAAACCCTAAACCCTAAACCCAGACGTTTGGGGCTCTCTGGTCGACGCATGACCGAAAAGACCAGACGCAACAAACAAAAGCCGCAGGGTAGTTGCATGGTCCCTTCATATGGGCCCTTAATTGAGGAACCCTAAACCCTAAACCCTAAACCCTAAACCCTAAACCCTAAACCCTAAACCCTAAACCCTAAACCCTAAACCCTAAACCCTAAACCCTATCCTAAGCCAAACCTTGAATACCCAACAGCTCGCCGCATGAATGGTCGCTGGGGCCTGATGGGAACCACCGGAAGATCGCAGTCTGCACCTTCTCCTTGGGGTTAGGGTATTGGGTTTAGTCTTACGGTTTAGGGTGTAGGGTTTAGGGTTTAGGGTTTAGGCTACAGGGTATAGTACGGTGTTTGTATGGCTTAGGGTAACCAAAGGAAGAACCAGGCATGATAGCCTTTGCTAGACCCGAATAAGGGCATTAGTTGTTCGAGTGTTTGGCCTTCACAGCCATGTGATGATAATACGGGGTACGATAATCCCCATCAAGGACTGCTAGCATAAGGGGGAACATCCCAAACAGCAACCCCCCTACTGAAACAAGAGCCCTCGGAGCCTGTGCGATTCTATGTATACGAGACGAAGATGAACCAACAACTTTTTGTCCTGAACCCTAAACCCTAAACCCTAAACCCTTACACCCTAACCCTTAACCCTGACCGGGCCTAGACCACCCTGGACACGCCGAGATTCCGTTGCCCGTGCCGGTTAGAGCCACGGCGGCCACAGTGCACTTGAACATGGCGCAGGCGGCAGCATGCTGCAACAACCTGCCCTCGGGACTTCAGGGCTGATGTGTGTTAGGGTTTAGGGTTTCGGGTTTAGGAGGTTTAGGGGGTTTAGGGTTTAGGGTTTGAGGTTTGAGGTTTAGGGTTTGAGGTTTGAGGTTTAGGGTTTCGGTTTACGCTTTAGGGGCGTTTTAGACTTCAGGGCTGATGTGGTAGGTAGTAGGCTTGTAATTCCTTGTTCCCCGATAAGGACACCCAGTATATACACTCCCAAAACTTAGAAGGATATATATATATATATATATATATAATTGTTGCTGAGTTCTTAAGCCCCAAGCAACTGTACACTTTCAGTTCTATAGGGGATTCTAGTATGCCAAAAAGTGTAAAGTGTGCTGACTCCGCTACACTGATATATATATATATATATAAGTATATATTGTAAACATATATATATATATATGGATACACTCACCAATATAAACTCTGTTCCATGTGTGCGTGTGGGGCTTAGGGCATTGTAGGGGTTCATTTGCTCAGGGTTCTAGGTTTCCAGGGTTGGATTGCGAAGCATTGGGTTCAGGGTTCATCAAGGCGGAGCAGTTGCTGATCTGGAGAAAAGCTTGTAGAAAGTTCCTCGCGTCAAAAAGCGTGGTTCTGCAACCAAGACGCGGCAACAGAGAGGAAAAGCCTACAGAGTATGTCAGCGCATGTTCTTGTTCCAAACTCAGTTGCAGACCTGAGACTGATCAAGCGCCTACAGCACTTTTCCCAACAGTCGGCAAATGAACTCCTGGGATGGGCGGGCGACAAATGTCGGGAAAAAACTCTCCGAGCGGAAGTATATACATAAATGTCGCGTCGGGAGAGCCGCAGCCGAAGTTCTAGGAGAAGTCTTTCTAGTCCCGGTCTCCATACAACTGAATTGACCAATTTGGTCAAAGTTGGTCTCGCACGTCGTTGCCGCGCAACAACCGGACAGCTCGCCGACTTGGCGATGAAAAAGAAACTTTCGACAGTTTAGTTATAGCCTGGAGCGGCCCTGCTACGTTGTTGCAGGACTCCAAGACATACCCAGAGAACACCATACCGCCAATGAAAGAACAGTCCTGAATGCATCTTTGCGGGCCCTGCATAACCTGTGAAGAACATGTACATGGCTTTACTGCAACCCTAAACCCTATAAACCCTAAACCCATATGGAGTTCTCGGAAGTCTTCAAACTTTATCACACTTGCCGACAGTTTCTCAAGAGCTCTGCTTTTAACGGGGACAGCCCTCCTTGCTTCCCGGAACTGGAGTTGGGCAATCTGCTTCGTGGAAGATGCCCACCAGTGCCGTGATTCCGGTGATGTCCACCGTTTCCATATACCTGGGTCAAGGTTGGGGCTCATCAAACCCTAAACCCTAAACGAAACCCAGTTCACTCTTATCCCCTAAACCATTTAACAATAGCCCCTTCTCAAAACAAAATTAGACATTCCTGAAGAGATTGTAGATGCCCGGCGGGGCCCTCTTCATTTCCCCACTTGTACTCGGGGTCGTTCACCCAAGCTGGATCTTCCACCTCCTCTCCCAAGACCTTGTCAAGGATGTCCTCGTGCATGACCGGGTATGACTGATTCTATAGGTATGACTATGAGTTCCCCCTTATACTAGCAGTCCTTAATAGGGAGTATAATCGGGGGTCCTAGAATCCCTATTACTGAGCGGCTTCTCTGTTAGGCTTAGAAAACTCAACGGAATTTGTAGAGGGGGGTACCCGGGTACCCGACCGTAGTCGGTCGTATTGGGGCGTGCCGCAGCGCACTGGGGCGTACCCGAGCGTTCTCGGGCGTACTCGGGCATACTGCTACTCAGGCGTACTCAAGCGAACGCAGGCGTACAACCGGTCGCTCGGCAGCGGAAGCCTCAAAAAACAGCACCGGTTCAAAACAATGTGCACGTTTTCCGAATCCAAGCGCAGCGGCGCTGGGCAATCCCTGTTCATCCTGGCAAGCCGAACGCGTAGCTTGCTGGATCTTTTGCATTCACCCATACAGGGCATTAGGGTTTAGGTTTTGGGGTTTCGGCATGCTTTTGGTGTGGGGACCTGTTTGATTGGACATAGGGAGTATCCGGGAATTGTATTGGCAGCTATCCATATTTTTGAGGATCTTTTTTTGCAAGCGCAAGAAAACTGTTGTTTGGCGCATGTGGTTGAAAACTGTTGCGAGACGCTTCCGCTGAAGGTGACGAAGGCTGGAGAGCCCTAAACCCAATGCCCAAAACGCCTATAAACGCCTATAAACCCTATAAACCCTATAAACCCTATAAACCCTATGAACCCAATGGACCCTATGAACCCCATAAACCCGATAAAACCATATAGGCCCTATAAGCCCTACAACCGAATTAAGCCCTATAAACCCTAAAACCCCTAAGCTCTACACTTAAACCACGCAAGAAACATACTCAGGATGGACCCGCTAAACCTCCAATCAAGACCGTGCCCTAGGGGTCCATGCACTACACTTGGGCCCGAGAGCTACTGTATGGGAACCCTTTAAGGCCCAAGTATATACTATACGGGTACATGGACACTTAGTGGAATAAGGCGCCGGGGCGTTCCTTGCAGATGTCGCCTAACCCGAGGTAGTCCATGATGGCGTCGGTGATCAAGGTCTTTGCGGTGTCCTTCTACCCCCCACAGAACCCACCCTGCACCAAGAGAATACTCCCTAAAACCGAAATTAGGATCCCCATTGTAGTCTACTAGTTGCTTAAGAACACCCCCCAAAAACACACACATTAAAAAAATCTGCGGGCAATACAGGGATTATTATCTTTCGTTCTTAAGCAAACAGTAGTAGTCTATAGGTTGGGATGTTCCCCCCTATACGAAGAGTCCTTAAAAGGGATTGTAATTGGGGGGGGGGGGGGGGGGACTAGAATCCCAATTAAGGACTGTTTGCATTGTAATTGTATACGGGGGAACATCCCAACCTAAACCCTAAACCCTAAACTCATGAGAACTAATTATTGTTAAAGACAGATCTTAAGCAAAAAGTGGTAGTCCATAGGGAGGATACCCCTTGTATGCCCTTTACAAATTTAGGACTCGTACATCAGAACCCTTTAAAGGAGGTTGCGACCTTTTTCAGGGCCCATGAAAACCCCAAACCCCTAAGCCCTAAAACCCAAAATCATAAACCCTAAACCCTAAACCCTAAACTCAGGCATCGGAGTCCCTAGGTCAAGGTGTGGCACGGTCGTCCCTTGGTGGCAACTGTAGGGGTTTCGAGTTCAAGATGTTCCCTCAACATCCCCAAAAACACACAGTGGCTCTTGGGACTTAGGGCTTAACCCTAAACCCTAAACCCTAAACCCTGAACCCTAAACCCTAAACCATAGGGGTGGGGATCGACATTTCAACCAACGAATCAACGAAATCAACCCTAGAATCGGGATCCCTGGTGCTTGGAGGTTCAGGGCACTCCCAGACCCAGTTGTAACCGCACCTAAACAAGAACCCCCCCCTAAGTCCCCCCAAGCAAGCTATAAGTAGACCTACAATTTTTTCCGGACCCTAAACCCTAAACCCTAAACCCTAAACCCTAAACCCTAAACCCTAAACCCTAAACCCCCCCCCCCCCTTATAAAAGTCCCCCCCAAGTAGGGCTCTCTAAGTGAGATAGAACTTGGGGATGGCCCCTATTTAGGGTTTAGGGTTTAGGGTTTAGGGTTTAGGGTTTAGGGTTTAGGGTTTAGGGTTTAGGGTTTAGGCAAGGTCCCCCATAAACCCTCCAAATTACCCCTGAAGAAAGGGAGGCGGTGCCTTGATCCCTGACTTGATTGCCCGCACGGTCATCTTCCTCATGCCTTACCATGTTATCATAAGGGCAGCCTTTCTTGGGGGGTTGGTTACCCCCTAAACCCTGAACCCTAAACCCTAAACCCTAAATAAGGGGAACCTTGAGCCCCTAAACCCTAAACCCTAAACCCTAGACAACCCACACAAAAAGGGACAAAAAGGGTACCACCGGGCCCACCAGGATGCTCTTCTTGCCCTGGCTCTTCAAGGATGCGATCGCGGCCTTCTTGGCGGCACCCTGGCAAGCGAGACTCCCAAATATTTCGGGTTTGGAGTTTAGGGTTTGGGGTTTAGGGTTTAGGGTTTGGGGTTTGGGGTTTAGGGTTTAGGGTTTGGGGTTTAGGGTTTAGGGTTTGGTGCAGAGCCGAGCAACACTTTTAAATTCTACCCCCGGCTAACAGAGACCAGCATCTGCGGCGACATGCCTGGCAACAGCACACCGCCACTAAGTCTACGCCAAAATAGAAGAACAAACAGAACACAACAGATGCTAGGGAAGCCTGACAATGCATCCAATGTTAATACAAGAATACAATAGTACAAGATTGCAGTAACAACCATGGAATTACGATCAACTATGATAATATGAAAATGTCATCATGTGACAAGATACAATATAACATAGTACAAATCTAGTAAAGCACCACATATATCCTAATCTAAGAATCCAGCCATCAAACAACATGAAAAATATGCTGCATCTAATGGAGAAGCCGAAGCAATGCACCTGGGTTGTGGAGGAGTGGTGCAGACGACAGCCAAGGATGAGGGTATTTTCGAGGCTCTCCAAATCAAATCATGCTCCGCTACCCTCAACCCCAGGCCCTAAAACCTTTTGGGCGCCCTACTTTAGTGTTTAGGACTGAGGATTTAGAGTTTAGGGTTTAGGGTTTAGGGTTTCGATTGCCCTCTGAAGATCTGAAGAGGACCCATGATTCAGAGAATGCCTTAAGGGGGGACCTTTAATCTTAGTCCGTTCCCGACAATCAGCGTACCCTTTTGGGGGGTCCCCTTAAAGGGGATTCTGTTCTACTTGGGGTATGAAAAGGGCAGCCCCTATTTTGGGAAACGCTCACATGTACCTTATATAGTCATCATATTCCTAAGTAGTCCCTAAATAACCCCCCAAGGTCCCTAACAAGGGTTCCTCCTTGAATGCCCCATTTATGATGTCGAGTGTATCCACGGACAACATCTTTGGGGGTCTGCTCTCATGCTGGATCTCCGTGAGGAAGATGCATCATTCCTGAAAGACTGCTTGACAGCCCTAAAGCCACACATATATATATATATATATATGTATATATATATATATACATATATATATATAAGCCTAAACTAGGCCAAATATACAGGGGTCGGAAAAATCGCTCATAATGTTCCCTTATGGTCCCTTTATAAGTATACCATAATCACCCCCCCCCCCCCCCTTTAGAACCCTGTCAAGCTCCTACATCGCCAACCATCCCAGAACTTACGTAGGACCAGGGCTCGGAACGTCATACGTCTGCGCTGGTGGCGAGCTATAGGAAGAGCTCCAACTCGTAAGCTCCAAAACCCTGAACCATAGGCCCTGCAAAATCAACCCCCAGAATCCGTGCCCTGGGCCCAAAACCCCGACACCCTGACATAATAAAGATGTTGGAAGAATTGCTAATCGTAATCCCTTATGGTCCCTTAACCCCCAAAGCCCTGTTTAATTATTAAGGCCCCAATATTGGGGTTTCCGATATTGGTTGTACCTTTTCGGGGTCCTTCTGACTTGTTAATGGAACCCTACTATTTGGGGGTTCATATTGGGGCCCCTTATTTTCGCATAGTACACCCCCAAGTTTCCCGTACCGCGACCCTAAACCCCAAACCCCAAACCCTAAACCCCAAACCCCAAACCCCAAACCCTAAACGCGACACACAGCTGAGGGCCTTGGCTGCGGTCACCATCGCCTTCTTGATGGCGCTCCTGCCGGCTCCCTTCGCGGCGTTCTTCGCTGCCGCCTGCGAAAAAGAGCAAAGGCCACAGGTCGCAAAGGGGCGCTTAGGGTTTAGGGTTTAGGGTTTAGGGTTTAGGGTTTAGGGTTTAGGGTTTAGGGTTTAGGGTTTAGGGTTTAGGGTTTAGGGTTTAGGGTCGGGTTTAGGGTTTAGGGTTTAGGGTTTAGGGTTTAGGGTTTAGGGTTTAGGGTTTAGGGTTTAGGGTTTAGGGTTTAGGGTTTAGGGTTTAGGGTTTAGGGTTTAGGGTTTTGCTGTAAAAGGGCGTAGATGCTGTGAAGGTTAGGATGCAGCAGCGGCTCGAATGCCTCGTCAAATGCGCAGAGCAGCTCTGGCCCGATTTTGGAGGGCCATCAACAACTTTTCTCCCACCCCACGCCGTCCAAGGCGGCAAAACCACCCAAACCTATTCCTTTTAGGGTTTAGGCCTAAACTCATGACAATTGCTTACTTTCAAAAAAACCTTTCCCCAAGGCCAGGTCCGAAGGCCAGGGCCAGGGTCAGGGGGGGACCAGGGCAGGCCAGGCCAGCGTCAGGAGGCTCAAAGGGAATGGGCCAGGAAGGAAGGGGGGCCAGAGGGGGGCCAGGGGGGGCCGGGGGGGGGGGGCCAGGGGGCCAGAGGGGGCCAGGCGGGGTTAGGGCCAGGGGGGGCCAGGGGGGGCCAGGGCGGGGGCCAGGGCCCAGGGGGGCCAGGGGGGCCAGGGGGGGTCGGGGGGGCCAGGGGGGCCACCGGCGGGGCGCCAGGGGCGGCCAGGGACAGGGGGGGCCAGGGGGGGCCAGGGCGGGCCAGGGGGGGCCAGGGGGGGCCAGGGGCGGCCAAGGGGGGGTCAGGGGCGCAAGGGGGGGGCCAGAGAGGCCAGCGGAACAGGAAGCCTTTTTGAGCACCCGTCCTGCCTGGCCTGGCCTGAGGCCCCCTGGTCCCTGGACACGCTGCGGTGAGGGGTCCGGGTCCTCCTGGCCTGGGGGCCTTGGGGTACCCCCTCCCGGAATGCCAGCGCCATCCAGGGTGAAGACCTTGGGGTTTAGGGTTTTAAGGGGACCAGTACTGGTCCCCGGGAGAACCTGCTCCGGTACCGGGCCCATCGTGGGTGCTACCGACCCCCTGGCTGCAGGAGGCGGGCAAGCGACCTGGGTCGACTTTGGCCATAGAGGTCGAAGGGCTTAAGCGCCGCCCCCCCTCTGTAGGGGGGCGGCCTAGGCCCTGAGTTTAGGGTTTAGGGTTTAGGGTTTAGGGTTTAGGGTTTAGGGTTTAGGGTTTAGGGTTTAGGGTTTAGGGTTTAGGGTTTGCTGTGATAGGTAGATGCTGTGAAGGTTGGTTTCGGAACAAGCTCGAAAGCTTCGTGAGGTGCCGAAGAGCAGCTTTGGCCCGATTGTGGAGGGCCATCAACAACTTTTCTCCCACCCCACGCCGTCCAAGGCGGCAAAACCACCCAAACCTATTCCTTTTAGGGTTAAGGCCTAAACTCAGACAACAGCCAACGTTTAAAAACTTATTCAGTTTCATGACGTTCGTTGAATCCGAGAGTCAAAGGCGGTCAGCGGGCGGACAAGGAACCCCAGAAATCAGGGAGGCCAGATGGCCAGGCGGGCCGGCGGCCGGGTCCTGGGGCCAGGGGGGGCCAGGGGCCAGGCGGGCTAGGGGGGCCAGGAAGGACAGGCGGCCCAGGCAAGCCCAGCAAAGCCGAAAAACTGATTTTTGAGCACCCGGCCTTGGGGTAGCCCCGCCCCCGAACAGGGGGTGACCTGGGTCGGCTCCATCGAGGTGAAAGGGCTTAAGTGCCGCCCCCCTGAGTTTCGGGTTTAGGGTGGAGGGGTTGAGTACCCAAGCCACTTGTGTCTGAAGGCCCCTGCAAGCTACAATCCTCGGGTTCTCTGGGGGACCCTCCCCTCGTGGGACCCTGCCCTCGGGGGAAGCAATAGTTGACGATGGCAAGAAAAACGAGGAAGGTGTTAGCATTGCTGCGAAATCCGTAAACCCGAAACCTAAACCCTAAACCCTAAAAGCATCTCCAGAACGAGGCCTACCCATCACAGGGTCTGAGCAGTAAGTTACGAAGCCCAAGGTGGCCTCAGCTTGGGCCGACGCTGCCACAAACCCCCCAAATCCATTCTCAGCCCTGAAAAGCCCTAAACCCTAAACCCTAAACCCTAAACCCTAAACCCTAAACCCTAAACCCTAAACCCTAAACCCTGCCAACTCAAGGAGCCCAGGGCCACGACTAAATGAAGAAGATGAGCGCCCCTCGTTTTTCTTTAAACTAAGCAAGTGAGCCTCTCGTTTTCTTAGGGTTTAGGGTTTAAGGTTTCTCGTTTTCTTAGGGTTTAGGGTTTAAGGTTTAGAGTTTAGGGTTTAGGGTGTGCTCCTACGCTTCGTATTCCTGGCCTGGGACCTGCCCGAACCCTCCAAACACAATTGCCTCACAACCAGCTCAGAAATCCAGCCTCGCGAGTGTCTAAATTTCGTTTTGGCTCTTAAGCCCTTCAACCAAGGGCTTAAGACGTAAGAACATAGTCTAAAGCCTTCAAGGCACCCTGGGGGTGCGGCGTCATATTTCTGAATCAATCGCAGGCCCCAACTTGAAGAAATATCCAGAGGTCACCCTGTCCTGGAATTCTCGCGTTTTATCCTGCGCTGCCACTGTACTTTGGTTCCTTACTACAGGATACCCCCCCAAAGAAAGGTAAACCCTAAACTCACCATGAACTTACCATAAACCCAAAACCCCTAAACCCCAAACAACCCAACAACCCTAAACCCTAAACCCTAACCCCTAAACCCCAACCAATAACCCCCCAACCCCACTTCCCCGCCACAAAAGTACCCGTGCCTTCAAGGCGGCCTTGGCGGCTGCTTTGGCGCCCGCCTTGGCCGCCGCGGACGCGCCGCCGGTCATCACCGCCATGGCGACGTCGGCTGCCATCTCCTTGGCTAGTCGTTGGGTTTGGGGTTTGGGGTTTGGGGTTTTGGGGTTTAGGGTTTAGGGTGTAGGGTTTAGGAGTATCATAGTATGTTCATATAGAAAACGTAGTAATCAGAATACTTATGATATGGGAATACTAGTGGTACAACATATTAACGGAGCGATTCTAACAACGTAACAGTGTACAGTACCCAAAGGGTCCATGCACTTACATGGTATATACTTGGGCCTTAAAGGGGTTCCTATATAGTAGCTTTAGGGGCCAAGTATATACTATACAGGTACATGGACCCTTAGGGGTAGTAATAGCATATTCCGCACATATCTTGGGATTTTTAGGGCTTTGGTTAGGACATCTTTCAGGGCTTGCTTTCCCTAGGGTTTAGGTTTTAGGGTTTAGGGTTTAGGGTTTAGTGTTTAGGGTTTTTCCCTAGGGTCTTGAGTTTAGGGCATTATAAACCCCAAGCTGCATTAATAGTTGAACGCCCAAGGTTCCAAGATCGCGGCAATGGATTTGGCGTACCTAGGTCTTAGTCTTGGCCTTTGAAAGCTAGGGTAAAGGTTCTTGTTTTTACTTGCTCAGCGCTCAGGCATCGAAAAAAATTCTCACAAGCCCTGAACCCTAAACCCTAAACGGAGGAACATCCCAAGGCCCAAGGCACTTCTCCGCCAAGACCTGCGTGCACCTGCCGGGCGCGACGCCTGGGGCTTCATGTCTCCCCCCCCTCCCCAGAGGGGCCCTCAATTTCTTAGAATCTTAGGGTTCAGGGTTTAGGGTTTAGGGTTTGGGGTTTAGGGTTTAGGGTTTAGGAATTTTAGGGTAGTCACATGGTCTCTCTATAGAATCTTAGGGTAGTCTTATGGTCCCTTGTAGAATGGGCCCTTAAAAGGGTTATATACCCTATGCATATTGAGGGCCCGTACATCCGAACCCTTTAAAGGAGGTGAGAGACCATATTAAGGGTCCATGAGACTACCCTGAGATATCATGTGGAGCCTTGAAAAAGCCCCCAAATCAGAGCCCCAAAAGCCCCTAAACACCTAAAAACTGAACCCTGAACCCTGAACCCTAAACCCTAAACCCTAAACCCTAAACCCCGCAAAGTTCTACGAAGCTCAACTACAACAAAAGGACTCCTTGCAGGCCAAAAGGGCAGTAGCACTCACACTGCTCCAAGCCGATCTCCGCGCAATTTGTGCCTTTCGTGACCTGCCATAGGGTTGGGGTTTAGGGTTTAGGGTTTAGGGTTTAGGGTTTAGGGTTTAGGGTTTAGGGTTTAGGGTTTAGGGTTTAGGGTTTAGGGGTTTAGGGGTTTAGGGGTTTAGGGGTTTAGGGGTTTAGGGGTTTAGGGGTTTAGGACTTTAGGGTTTAGGTTGAGTGTATACAGCTTTTTGGGTCGCCAGGTAAACCGGGCGGGGTGGGGGGGGGTAACTTTATAGAACCTATAGGGGGTTGGGGGGGGGGGGGGGGATTATGGAGGCTATATATGGGTAAGAGCTAGAGATTGAGCTCGATAAACAGGATTGAACCGTTGGATGCGCAGAAAAACCACATTCTTGGCAACTGTCCCCTTTGAACCGAAAGTAGGTTTCTCCGCTTTGGGTGGTTTCGTTGGTTTAGGGTTTAGGGCTCGGGGTTTAGGGCTTCACAATCGAGGGGTTTAGGATGCCTGCGCCCGCTCTTTTCGGGATTGAATCTAAAAATGGAAACCCTAAACCCTAAACCCTAAACCCTAAACCCTATAAACCCTAAACCCTAAACCCGAAACCCTAAACCCTAAACCCTAGACAGGAGTGCTCCTGAAGCTGCAAAAAAAACAAGCGCGCTCGGAGGGCCGCGCAGTACGCAGTCATTAAGCCCGGTAGAAACTTCTGCAACTCCTGCAGCCGAGCTTGCCCCCCTTGAGTCCTTCCCTGCGTATGCAGGGTTTAGGGTTTAGGGTTCAAGGTTCAGAAGGGGTTCGGGTTAGTCCCATTAAACCCTAAACCCTTATTAAGGTGGTTTTGAAGATTAATTATTCCGAATTTGAATGAAGAAACCATCCGGACCCTCATCCCCTCACGCTTGAGCAGCAGCCAGTTAAGCCCTCCCTAAACCCTAAACCCTCAACCCTTAACCCTAAACCCTAAACCCTAAACCCTAAACCCCTGAAAGCACCCCGAAGGCCCGCTGAGGATCCCCAAGACCCTAAGTCCCTGCAGGCAAAGAGGCTCATGAAACCCGTCGGATCATAGGAAACACAGGCGTAATGGCATGACTCCTACTCCAAAGAAGACTAGGGTTTAGGGTTTAGGGTTTAGGGTTTAGGGTTTAGGGTTTAGGGCTTAGGGTTTAGGGTTTAGGGCTTAGGGTTTCGGGTTTAGGGTGGTTTAGGGTGGTTTAGGGTTTGCTGTGCCACGGCGTAGATGCTACGAAGGTATGGCTGTGGAACAAGCTCGAAAGCTTCGTGAGGCGCGAGGAGCAGCTTTGGCCCGATTGTGGAAGGCCATCTAACATTTTCCTCCAACCCCACGCCGTCCAAGGCGGCAAAGCCACCCAAACCTATTCCTTTTAGGGCTTAGGCCTGAACTCAGATAACAGTCCACTTCTAAACACTTCTTCCGTCCTTAATGTCAGGAGTTGTAAGAAGGTTTCTGGGGCCAAGCTGTCTGACAGCAAATCGCAGGCCCCAGGAAGGCCCGAAAGCGCCTTGAAAGGCCGACGAGGGGGCCAGGAGTCGAGAAGGGCCAGGGGTCCAGAGGGCCGCCCAGAAGCTCGGGGGCAGGGGCGACCCAATCCCCAGACCAGGCAGTGTAGGGGGCCCAGGCAACAAGGCCCAAAGGCCCAGCAAGGCCCAAGGAAAAGTTCAGGGAGCAGGACTTTTGCGTGTTCCGGTGCCGGGCCCATCGTGGGTGCTACCGATCCCCAGGCTGTGGGAGGCGGGCGAGCGACCTGGGCTGGCTTGCGCCATCGAGGTCGACGCCGCCCCCAACGTAGCCGGGCGGCCTAAGCCCTGAGTTTAGGGTTTAGGGACGCTGTCATTTAGGGTCCAGGCTCCGAGACTTAATGGCAGGCGCCTTACTCACATCACCGTCACATCACCCTTCACCTCCTAGACGATGGTCCGACACAGGGTGCAGGGTTTAGGGTCAGGGTTTAGGGTTTAGAGTTTAGAGTTTAGGGTTTAGGGTTTAGGGTTTAGGGAGGGCTTTGAGGGTTTTAAGGGGTTGCAGAGCTGCTAACATGGCTCCTGGTTGGAGATATTGCCGGACAGCTGCAGCAGCGTGGCCTGAGCTGGGCTGTGGGCGTCTTGCTTCAGGAAACTCAGCATGGCTTAACGTGCCGTTTCTGCCATGAGCCTCCTAAGCCCTTGTAAGAGCTGTGTGTAGAAAATGTGCGAACACCCGTACTCAGTGGCAGAGTTTCTGTACAGTTCAGGGTGTAACGGGCAATCATCAATAACGCAGGACGCAGGGGTCGAACTGTTGGTATGGGCGTCTGGTCAGGTGATAGTATTGGAAGTCGTTGAGGCTCCTGTCTTGCATACCAATCATGACGATAAGAAGTCGGTCCGTGCCTTCATGCCACACCCGAAACCCTAATGCCCTAAGACTTTGAGGACTCTTATGTTAGGGATTTGTGAAAAGAGACCACCATCAGAACACCATGCTATGTAAGGTTCGCGGCTTTGTGAGCCTTTGGCCGCCACTTCACACGCCCAGCTACTGTAAAGCCCATGGTTTCCTGTTTGGTTTAGGGGTAGAAGGTTTGGCGAATTCGTCTCTACTAACCTTCAGGGCAAAAGGAATAGTGATTGCTAGACCCAAGAGTAACCTGGAATCAGAAATGTATGGCAAGGGCTCAGATACATGAATATTATTTGCTCATAGCATTCCCGAGTCGATATCGCCTGTGTGCTGTGTCTGTTTCCTGACGGAAAAATACAAAGCATGAAGCGCTTGCCTAATACTGAAACATTATGAAGAGGGAGGCTAATACATGTAAGGGCTGATTGCATCAATTAAGTGGCCAGCATCATAGACGAAAAGGAGCTGAGAGTGAAATTGCATAGAAGAAAAAGGCTGAGAATCAAATGCATGGACGAAAAAAGGCTCACATGAGACAATCGCTTTAAATCCTAAACCAGAAAACAAGTAGCTACTTCTGCAGAAACCTGAAAGAAGAAAGAATTAACAGCGGATAGTCGCTTTCGGCATTACTCCCGTATCTGGAGGACTTCATAATGACAAAGGCTTAAGCAAGTATATAGCAGATAGGGATACCCACACGAAGTATGAAAAAATATGTATACGTGCATACACAATATATCAAATAATGAGGATGAAATCGAAAAACAACATTTTAACCTGGGGTGTTGGTGTAGGTAAGAGCCGAGAGTAGGCAAATACCAGCTTACTCGTGTTGAAGTTTCGTCGCGAATCCATGCATGATATTTATGCTGTCAGAAGCAAGCATACTTATGACGAGTACGAAAAGGTGTATTTCCGGCGTTTTCAGGTCTCAAGCACAGCAAGATACAGCAGCAGACGTAAGAAGAGTAGGAATATACCCTAAACCCTAAACCCATACATAAGAGGTATGATGCTAAACGTGGCCAGGGTACGGCTTGGCCGTCAGTCGGTGTGTTCAAACGAAGTGGCACATCTAAAAACATACGATCTTGTGTATCTATCGGAATAAAGAAATAAAATATATATCGTTGGAGACACTCTTGGATTTTGTTACCCACCCCTAAATAGACGAACCCAAACAGAAGCTGAGCCCACCACGTTTTTCGCCAGGTGGTCTGCCAAGGCCAAGAGGGTGCTGGAATGCGGGCGCCTCAGCCGAAACTGCGGTGGGCTTAATTAAGCCTGTCGGAGCTAGAAGACCATACTCTACAAGGCTTTTGGGCAAGTTTAAGGCCTTTTGAGGGGTGGTTTACAAGGTTTGCGGTTTCGCAAGATAGACTGGGTCTGGTAGATTTCAGGACACGCCGAACGAGTACCTGCCACAGAGCGTCTCCTCGCGAGTGAACCTGGTCCCCTCTTCGAAAAGCGAGGTCTTCGTCCCATAGTCCGAATGACCCGGGAAGAGGGAAGATCTCCCCGTCATGCCGGCTCGCCTCAGAGATGGCAGGGAACAACCTTCTGAAAAAAGTCACAGGTGCATGTAAGAAAGGCTATGTGTAAGATCTTAGTAGGGTAACCATGGAATGCTTCAGTCCTTCTGATACCCATCCATGAGACTTCAAGCAAATTGGGGCCTGGGGCTGCTTCCGGGCAGCCAGCACGTGCCCGATGGTTTGAGGAGCTGATCGTACACTGCCGCGGCTGACAGGCCCTCGCAAATCACCTGGGATTTTTGCGATTGGAATCTTCTCTTACAGCGTCGATCATCTCCAACTAGACGGCTCGAGCTTGAACCGATCCCTTAGAGTCTGAAAAAAAGGCAGGAAAAAACACACACATTTTTGCGATAGTCCTCGGAGCCTTAGGGAAACGGGAAGTGTGCAAACACAAATCGTGCGAATCCGTACTTGGCCGCATCCTTGTTGTCGCGAGCGAAGTCCTTGGCCTGAAGCGTCGGTTTCGGGTTTAGGGTTTAGGGTTTAGGGTTTAGGGTCTTGGGCTCGGGGATTCGAATCCAGACGGTGCTGTCATCTAAGCCTAGGGTGCACGTGGAGGTTCAGGGGTAGCTGCAAGTAGCGTTTAGGGGTTAGGGGTTAGGGTCTAGGGTTTAGGGTTACCTTCATTCAGCGTACATGTTTCGGTATAGGCTATAGCTATCCTACTTAAAACCCTTCTTAAAGCTGCCCATGAACCTCCAAGCAGGGTTTGCAGGATCATTGCGGAGTAAAGGGAAAGGGATCATTGTAGTTCCTTTCTTCAGCCCTGAACCCTAAACCCTCAACCCCAAACCCTAGCCCTAAACCCTAGCCCTAAACCCTCAACCCTCAACCCCAAACCCTAGCCCTAAACCCTAAACCCTAAACCCTCAACCCCAAACCCTAGCCCTAAACCCTAAACCCTAAACCCTGCAGACCTTGGAGGTGATCTCCCCAGGCGACAGTGAAGCTCCCGTTTGCCCATCGACGACGTCGCCTCGGCCACAGAGCTTAGGGTTTAGGGTTTAGGGTTTAGGGTTTAGGGTTTAGGGTTTAGGGTTTAGGGTTTAGGGTTTAGGGTTTAGGGTTTAGGGTTTAGGGCTTAAGGTTTAGGGTGTGAGGGCCCAGGGTTTAGGGCTTAGGGTTGAGGGCTATCAGGGGCTATGAGGGGGTTATGATGGGGGTCTGTCGAATTAAAGGGGGGTATAAAGAGGGCAGAAGGGTGTTATGAGGGGGGTATAAGGGGACCCTATATAACCCTATGACTCTGCAACCAACCCCCCCCCAAAAAAAAAAAAACAAAAAAAAAAAGTTGCAAGTAGTAAAGCCTAACCCCCCCCCCCCCCCCCCCCCCCCCCCCCCCAAACAAAAAAAAAAAACTCTAAAAGCCCCAAACCCTAAACCCAACCAGCCCCCAAACCCTAAACCCTAAACCCTAAACCCTAAACCCTAAACCCTAAGGCCCCCAGAAGTTGACTTCCGGGCCGCCGTCGGAGTTGATTTTCAAGACGTCGATGAGCCGGGAGCTCGCTTCGGGAGGCATCTCACCGGAAGTTGCCACCCCTGAAAGTTTTGGGTTTAGGGTTTAGGGTTTAGGCTTTCGGGTTTCGGGTTTAGCCTAGGGCTTCAGGGGCTTAGGTTAGGGTGAGGGTTTATAGGTTTAGAGGCTTTTCGGGCTATAGGGTTATTGGGGTGAGGGTTTAGGGTTAGTGTGAGTATGGTTGTTGTTACGACCGCTCTTTTTCTTGGGTGGGTGGGGGGGTGGGCGGGTAAGGCTTGGGTTGGGGCTTCAGGATGTTTTGTATGCTTCATTAACGGGATGCTGGTCTTCAAATGCAGTCAAAGGACCGCACCACCATGGGTTCCACTCTATCCTTGGTAGCCCGTAACATAACAAGGGTACCTTTTTGGGGTGGGTTACTTTATAAGAGAACCTAGAACCAACAAAAAAAGGGGCAAAAGGATACCACTGGGCTACCATGAATCTCTCCGTTGCAGTTGAACTTAATTTGGATGGTGTCGAAGTAGAGGCCCCAGGCCACACTTTCCTTTGTCTCTCCACACCACCTAGGCGGCTTTGTAAAAAACAAAAAAAACACCCTAAACCCTAAACCCTAAACCCGAAACCCAAGAGGCGGCCCTGAAACCCCTGTACAGCTTCAACTCTTAGGGACCTTAAAAGGGAACCCCTTACATAGCCCTTATATACCCTGTACAATTCAATGGCCCAGACATCAGGACCCTGTAGAGGAGATAAAGGAGCCTGTTAATGGGCCCATGTAACTACCCTTGGATCAACTCCTAAACCCTAAACCCTAAACCCTAAACCCTAAACCCTAAACCCTAAACCCTAAACCCTAAACCCTAAACCCTAAACCCTAAACCCTAAACCCCGACGTTTTGACAGAAACCGCTCCGCGTTCCGAAGGGCCAGTGAAGCGTTTTGCCTTGGGGGTGTGGCTCCGGGAAGGTCCACTCACATGTCTGGCCCTTGTAGCACGTCTTCCACTCTGTTCCCACCTGGGTGGCTGAGACAGGGCTGGTTGGACGACTGAACCAGAACTGCGGTCCAGGGTTCAGGGTTTAGGGCTTCGGCTTTGGGATTAGTAGAGTGCTAGGGATGAATCAACTTCCACTGCTCCCACGTTGTGCGGGCGCCACGGAAGGACTCTGCCCCCGCCTGCATCTGCAGATACTGCCGCGACCCACACCGATCGACGGTGCCGTCAGCGATGGAGCAGCAGCCTCGGTCCTGTCGGGGTTCAGGAGGCTTTCGTGGCCCTAAACCCTAAACCCTAAACCCTAAACCCTAAACCCTAAACCCTAAACCCTAAACCCTAAACCGGGTTCTCAAAACTTGGGGGGCAGTTGCGTCTGTGGAGACAATAAATGACATGAAGACAGGGACACGTTGCGTCTTCAGGTTCTCCCGTAAAGAGGACCACCCTGTGGCTCACATGATTCACACGCTTGTGCAATTCAACGCAGCCCTCCCCCCCCTCCCCCCATGTTGGCAACAACTCCATTGTGGCATGGTCCTTCGGCGATTCCCGTGGCGTATACATTCGCGGGGAACAATACCTGGCCACCATGTGAATTCGAGTAAGCCTATCCAAACCCAAGAGGACAAACACTCCAAAGCTCAACTTCAGCTCCCCTAAACCCTACACGGGTTTAGGGGGTTTAGGGTTTAGGGCTTAGGGTTTGGGGTTTAGGGACCCTCAACCGTAAGCTCTGCAGCCTGGGGTGATAGTTCAGATCGCCCTCGTTCATGTAGCTGTCGACGTGGGTGGCCGGCATGTTGAACCCGGTACGCTCCTGACCACCACGCCGGCGCCCACAAGTCCAGTACACCTCTTTGGAGCCTCTTGGATTGGAGGTCACCTTCGAGGGGTGTTTGGCTCTCAGGCTCTCTCAAACAAGCTACGAAACCCTGCTAAACCCCCCCCCCCTCCCCCTCACAGCCAAAAAAAAAACAACTATAAACTACAGTAGAGAGAGGCCAAGCGCCAACCAAACCCCTTAACCCTATACAACATAGGGGCCTTAATAAGTAGAGTAGGGCTTTGGGGGTTATTATAATATATTGAAATACAGGGACCATAAGGGAATACCGTTAGTACTTATTCCGACCCCTCTATTGAACCATCAACCCCAAAGGCCCCTGTAAAAGCCCTCCCAACCTGCCAGTTTCGGTGCCAGTATCGGTGGATCCATCCGGCAGGCTCCGACTTCATCCAGACTTGCATATCACGGCACTTATCTTTGGTGTGATCGCCTCAGAGGAGGGTTTAGGGTTTAGGGTCTAGGGTTTAGGGTTGGAGGGCATGGGGTCGGATAGGATTTCGGGGAGGTGGCTCGAGGATGTCAGGGTGACTATGAGTTGCATGTTTGGGGGGGCCTGCAGGGCTTTTGGGGCTTGTATAAGCCCTGAACCCCACGCCGTACAAACCCTAAGCCCTAAACCCTAAACCCTAAACCCTAAACCCTAAACCCCAAACCCTAAACCCGAAACCTTCTCGGTTTTCCTACACCGGGATCCGAGTGATCAGAACCCAAGGGGGAACCCTCAATTGGAATGCAAGGCTCGAACTCAAAGATGCCATGGGGTTTAGGGTTTAGGGTTTAGGGTTTAGGGTTTAGGGTCTAGGGTTTAGGGTTTAGGGTTTAGGGTTTAGGGTTCATAGGGTGTATGAAGCCGATAAGTTTGGGGCTTATAGGGTCTCGGACCTGTTAGAAAGCCAAGGTACAGGCGCAGCAACTTGGCATTTGGGAGGTGGTCTCCAAATCACTGATGGGTACGATCTTCATCCAGATCTGGCTGCTGCTGCCCAAACTATCCCCATCCTTGCCGGAAGACGGTGTAGGGTTTCGGGTTTAGGGTTTAGGGTTGTGATAGGATTTTGTGGTAGCCCAGTAACCGTATGATAAGGCACCTTTTTGGGGTTGGCTACTTTATAAGGGGACCCAGAACCCAAAAAAAAGGGTAAAGGGTGCCACCGGGCTACCAGATTCTATTAGGCTTTCTAGCACCCCCTGCCTCCGCCTTCTCCTGTCTCTCCGTCTCCTCCGCCCTCACCCGCAGTCCGAATCAAAGAACTAAACCCCAAGCCCTGAACGCCAAACCATCGAGGAAAGCCTGAGGCTGAAAAACCGAACCCTAAACCCTGAGACCCTGCATCCCACAAGCCTCAGACTCGCAACCCTAAACTATAAACCCGCAGACCCCAAAGCCTAAACACACTAAACCCCTAAATTCAAAAACCCACACCACCAGACTCCTTGCTCCCCACCAACCCTGAACCCTATACCCTAAACCCTTGAGCCCCTAAACCCTGAACCCAAAATTTCTGGGGCCGTCGAGCAGGGCGAACGCGCCGCTCCGGAGCCAGAAGCCCTCCGGCGGGCGACGGAGCACCAGTCCCGCAGGCAGCTGCGGGCTGCGCGGTAGCTTGGGAGGCCCTCTTTGTGTGGAGCCCCTCAAAAGAGGCCCCAAAAAGGCCCCTGCCTGGCAACTGCCTGGCTCGACCCGAGAACTCCACAACTTCAGCAAGTGATCCAGATCCCCAAACCAGGATGCAGCATCGCCAAGGGCGAAGGCGGCAGCCAGCCCCAAGCCCAAACCTCTGCCTTTTTGAGAAAGCATCACAAGGCCACCACGCCTCCGGGCGAAGGCAGCAGCCACCCTCATCTCAACCCTTTGACTTCAGGCCCTTCCAAACAAGTTCCCAAATCCCAACAAGGACGCAGCATCGCCAAGGGCGAAGGCGGCAGCCAGCCCCAAGCCCAAACCTCTGACTTTTTGGCCCTCCCAGAAGCCCTCGAATGATGGACATCATCCCTTTTGCAACGCCAAGGGGCTGCGAACTTAAGGGTACATTATCTACGTCGAGCCCGAGCTTCTAGACTCTCTAGACCCAACCATTGAAGAAAATCACAAAAGCAAGATCAGAGTTCAATAGAACCCTAAACCCGTAGAGGTCAAGGCGAGGGTGGAGCGCGCTTATGCAGGTCGGGGCGCGCGCCTGGGTGCTTTCAGCACCAGCGGGCACCCTAAACCCTAAACCCTAAACCCTCAACCCTCAACCCTAATCCCTCCCCCAGTTCCTGGGCGTTGCCGGTCTGCCCCGAGGGCGCCTGCCCATGGTGAACATCAGCTTCAAAATTCAGGGTTTAGGGTTTAGGGAGGCTATTTTGAGGTTTAGGGTTTGGGGGTTTATGGTTTAAGGTTTGGGGTTTAAGTTTGGGTTGTTATTTGGGGTTTAGGGTTTTGAGGTGTACAGCTTTTATTGACGTTCAGGCTTTTGGCGCATCCTGGAAGGAAGGCTTTGGCGCCTCACCCCTTCTTGGGGTTTGAGGTTTCGGGTTTAGGGTTTAGGGCTTGGAGGTTTACAGCTATTAATGAATAGGATGCAGGGTTTTGAGGTTTACAGTTGTTTATTAGGGTTCAGGGTTTTGAGGCTTACGGTGATTAATTGGGGTTTAGGGTTTTTGAGGTTTTGGGTTTGGGGTCTTGAGTTGTTAATAAAGTTTAGGGTTTTGAGGTTTTGGGCCTTAATCCGCCGAGGCCTCGGGCCAAGGTGTAGGTTGTCAGAACAGGCCCCGCCCGCCACCCCCCCCCCGCGCCCCGCCCACCCCTCCCCCCCCCTCCCCGCCCCCTCCCCCCCCACCCCCGCTTGAGGAACCCACCCTACACCCCAAACCGTGAACCTTGAGCCCGAAGCCCTCCACCCTCAACTAACCCACAACCCCAAACCACCCCCCCTGACCGCCGGGCATGTCGCCCCAGCCACCCAAAGCGGGTGCTCATAAACCCGACCCTATCCCCTAAACCCAACCCTTCTTGCTTGGGGTCCGGCGACTTGGGCGCTGCGGAATCACCATGCTCCGGCGGATGCGCTGGGCCGGGCCGAGGCGGGTCGCGTAGCGCTATAATTAGGGTTTCGGATGTATGGTTTGAAGGTAGGGTTTAGGGTTTAGGGGCCTAGGGATTTCAGGGTTCCCTAAACTAAACCCTAAACCCTAAACCCTACTGTTGGCCACAAGCATGACAGCATCCATCGCCTGACCGGGCCCGTTGATAATCAAGAAGCGGTTCCTGAGCTCTTTTGAAGTGGGGGCTATGATCCCTCAACCCTCAACCTAGACCCTATAAACCCTACTGTAAACCCTAGCCCTAAACCCTGAACCCTAAACTCCTAACGAGGGATATCAGGCATCTAGTTCGCCAATTCGGTTTAGGGTTTAGGGTTTAGGGTTTAGGGTTTAGGGTTATAGGGTTTAGGGTTTAGGGACCCTTAAAACTCAACACTCCAGGAAGACCGACTGCCAGCCCTAAGCCCCTAAAGAGTACAACGATCCCAAAAGCCCCAAGCCTTGAAGGGTTTAGGGTTTAGGGTTTAGGGTTTAGGGTTTAGGGTTTAGGGTTTAGGGCTAGGCTTCAGGCTTTCCAACGGCTCGCTCCTTATTGAGAACCAAAGTTCGCATTGCTGTTGTGGAGCGCGATGGTCTTCTCAGAGGCGGGGACGACCTGAGGACGAGCACAGGACCGCGCAAGATGCTTAGCCCAAACCCTGACCCCTAAACCCTAACCCTAAGCCCTAGACCCTAATTTATAAACCCTAAACCCTAAACCCTAGACCCGAGGAGTCTATATACCCCAAAAAGGTTAAAGGTTGCTACTCAGCTACTAAGGCGGCCTTCGAGAAGGCCACGATGCCCCCCAGGCCTCCAAGCCTAGTGACTGAAGCCCACCGTCTAGGGTTTAGGGTTTAGGGTTTAGGGTTTAGGGTTTAGGGTTTAGGGTTTAGGGTTTAGGGTTTAGGGTTTAGGGTTTAGGGTTTAGGGTTTAGGGTTCAGATAACACTTGTAACTTATAACCCCAATTATCAATGTACCTTCAGGCCCCCTAAGTCCCCTGAGTAGGTTATAACTGTACTTATAACGACTTATAACTTGGGCTATAAGGACCCATGAACCTCCAAGTAACCGGACAATTATGTACTCATGCTGGCATATCGTGTATCTTTCCACAGAAAACAAATCTAAACTTGATGTAAGCTTTTAAAAACAGATAATATCTGTTTTAAAAACCTACATCAAACTTATGATGTAACTATGAATATAAAACATGATGCGCCGTGCGTCCGTGCGTGCGTGCGTGCGTGCGTGCATGCGTGCGTGCGTGATTGCGTGCGTGCACGTGCACGTGCGTGCACGTGCATGCGTGCGTGCGCGTGCGTGCGCGTGCGTGCGTGCACGCCCGTGCGCACGTGCGTGCGTGCGCGTGCGTGCGCGCGCGTGGGTGTGTGTGTGTGTGTGTGTGTGCCTGTGCATAGCTGACATGGCCAAGTCGCAGCAAAGCGCTCCTCCAAAGTCACTCCCCCGGTCTTGCTCTTCGCTGAACCTGAAAATCAGGGATATTTTGCGTCTTGTTTTCACCGCTCATTTGTAGTGTTCTTCGGGGGTTTGGGGGTTTAGGGGTTTTAGGACCTTATCACCGATCATTGTAGGGCTCTCTCAAGATTTGAAAGGGTTTGGGTTTCGAAAAGCCCTGAGAAAAATGGGACTCCTCAGAGCCTTGGAACGCGGGCCCCGAAACCCTAAACCCTAAACCCTAAACCCTAAACCCTAAACCCTGGGAGCGCATGGCCTTCTTGCTACGCGCGGGTACGCTGTGAACACCTAGTTACAGCCTCAACACCCTACACCCTAAACACACTGTACCCTAAACACCCTACACCCTGTACCCTAAACACCCTAAAACACCCTAAACACCCTACACACTGAACCCTAAACACCCGAACCACCCTTACAAAACCCTAAACACGCCGAAACCCTTGAAAAGTGAATCCTGGCGTCGGGATGCCCGGCGACACAGTCCCAGCTTTCGTCATCTTCACAAAACGCCCCTGTGCGGCGTTGTAGAGTGCGACCTGCACTGCTCCCGCATCCACCACCTGGTTCTTGGGGTGTGGAGTTAAGGATTTAGGGTTTATAAGGTTTAGGGTTTAGGGTTTAGGGCTTAGGGTTTAGGGCTCAGGGTAATTTGGTGGTGTAGGGTTGTCCGGAAAAAGGAAGAAAGCATGCAGGGTTGAAGGGTTTTCCTTTTTCGGGTGGTTTAGTCTTAGGGTCGTTACAGGGTCGTATGGGCCCTTCAAGGGGGACCCCTTATATGCCTCCTAGACACCTTTACAACCCTTAAAGAGGTAGAGGACCGTATTCAGGGCCCATGAAACTACCCTACCCCTAAACCCTAAACCCTAAACCCTAAACCCTAAACCCTAAACCCTAAACGTAGCGACACGGTGCCTCGAACTGCTCCCAGGTCCATTCGTCCAAAATGCGGCCCTCGGCCAGCGGCGCATGTGAGTCCATCTTGTCGGAATGCATGCCTCGAGCGACGGACAGCTGAAGTAACCCGAAACCCTAAAACCCTAAAATCCTAAAACCCTAAAACCCTAAAACCCCGAAAACCCTAAAACCCTAAAACCCTAAAACCCTAAAACCGTAAAACACTAAAGCCCTAAAACCCTAAAACCCTAAACCCCAGGTGGAAAAGGACCTTGACCCAGCAACTCTCCACACAGGGCATGATGTCGGCTGAACCCCACCCTCCTCCCCCCAAAACATGAAAACGATTGAAAACGCCAAGGGGGGGGGGGCCATTGCAAACCCCAAACCCTAAACCTTAAACCCTAAACTCTAAACCCTAAACCCTAAACCCTAAACCGGGTTCAGGGATTTGGAGGGACCCTTAAGAATAGACCCCAAATAGGAGGATTCCTTTATCAGGACCCCAATAAGGTACCCCCCTAATTCCGGAAACCTCCCGCATTTAGGGGTTTAAGGATTTGTAGGATTCCGACCCCAAGAAGGTACCCCCTAATTCCGGAAACCCCAAGTGGGTTTAGGGTTTAGGGTTTAGGGTTTAGGGTTTAGGGTTTAGGGTGCGAAGCCAAGTGGCGCAAGAGGTTCTTGCTGCGCCAGAAGCCCACCAGGGAGCCCAGTTCCAAGTGTTGGGGCACCTGCGAAAAAGTTAATCGAGGGCCAACAAAAAACCCTTAAAAACCTAAAAGCCCTCAACCCTAGACCCTAAACCCTATACCCTCAACCCCAAACCCCAAATCCTAAACCCTATACCCCAAACCCCAAGCCCTAAACCCTAAACCCTATACCCCAAACCCTAAACCCCAAACCCTACACCCTAAACCCCAAACCCCAAACCCCAAACCCTAAACAATGAACCCCAAACCCCAAACCCCAAACCCTGAACCCCAAACCCTAAACCCCAAACCCCAAACCCTAAACCCCAAACCCCAAACCCTGTACCCTAAACCCTAAACCCCAAACCCTAAACCCCAAACCCTAAACCCCAAACCCCAAACCCTAAACCCCAAACCCCAAACCCTAAACCCTAAACCCTAAACCCCAAACCCTACACCCTAAACCCTCGGGAGGGAGCTGCCTGCAAGAGCTCCCAGGTGCAGGAGCCGCCTGCGGTGTCCGCATTCACCGTGTCCTCACAGGCCATTGAGGGGCGAGGGTTTAGGGTTTAGGGTGTAGGGTTCAGGTTTCAGGGTTCAAGGCTTAGGGCCTTAGTGAGGCTACTGAAATCTTGCGGTTCAGGGCCGACTAGAAGCACTTCGATGCTGCCAAACCCTAAACCCTAAACCCTAAACCCTAAACCCTAAACCCTAAACCCTAAACCCTAAACCCTAAACCCTAAACCCTAAACCCTAAACCCTAAACCCTGACTGCGCAGCAGCGTCCTCGCTTCCGCTCCGGCCGGTCACGGATTTCTTGGTGGACACAAAGATGAACATGCACAGAGAGCTACAACTCATGGGCTGAATACGCTTTGTGGTTTAGGGTTTAGGGTTTAGGGTTTAGGGCTTAGGGTTTAGGGTTTAGGGCTGCGATACATGGTGGGATTCTATATATCCCGAAAGGTTGTAAAGGTTATACCTACCCAGTCCCTGAGGCAAGGACTCGAAAACGCCACCTGAGGGCCAAGCATAGACATTGTCGACGCGAATGTACTGTTTCCGCAACTTGGAATACCTTCGTTGCTGAGTTCATAAAGCCCTCCCCCCCCCCCCCCCCCCAAAAGAAAAAGTACGCTTTCAGTTCTCTAGGGAGTATCGCATCCCAAAAAGTGTAAAGTGTACTCATTCAGCTACTAAGATACAGGCCAACAAGCCCGATTCCTGCAGGCACCACCTGGCAGAGCTTTGAGCATAAAGAGGGTGGTGAGAGCAGCATCCGAAGCTGCGTTGTTCGAAATCGCCCCCCCAAAAAGCCCAGAAATCCAAAGTTCCGAAATGTTATCGGGAAAGGCAGAGGGGCTTAGGGTTTAAGGTTTAGGGTTTAGGGTTTAGGGCAAGGTTTTTTCTCCCACGGGCCTTCAATGTCCAACACCAAGCCTAAACTCAAAACCTTGGGATGTTCCCCCGTGTACTAACAGTCCTTCATAGGGATTATAGTAGGGGGGGTACAAACAGAGTAACCCTAAACCCTAAACCCTAAACCCTAAACCCTAAACCCTAAACCCTAAACCCTAAACCCTAACATTGTCCATCAACACAAGACCCATGTCTCCCTGCGCAGGGCTTCTGGGCGAACCGAAGCCCAAGACATGAGGGAAGGAGGGCCTACTCTGAGACCTAAACCCTAAACCCTACACCCTGAACCTTAAACCAACACACAACACGATCCAACGCGGGTTTAGGGGTTTAGGGTTTAGGGGTTTAGGGTTTAGGGGTTTAGGGGTTTAGGGTTTAGGGGTTTAGGGTTTTAGGGTTTTGGGGTGCCATGCACGCCTTGAACTTGTTATTGTCCCATGGAGCCGTGGTCGTTGGCCCAGTTGGCGCATTGACGCCTGGCATCGAAACGGTACGGTTCTGGGCCTAGCCCCGTCAAGCCTTTGAAAACAATCATTCTCAGCTTCCTCTTGAAAAAGTCTACTTAAGCCCTAAACCCAAAGGTGGGAAATTTTTGCCATACCGAATTCAGAGCCGAGAGAGAGAGGGTTCTTTCAGGAAAGCTGCTTTTCATGTTTTGAGGGTAGCGAATAAGGGTTTAAGGTTTAAGGTTTAGGGTTTCGGGTTTAGGGATTAGGGGTTCGTAGAAGGTTTGCTGAGCCCTTCTCAACAAGCTCCCCGTAAATCAAAAGATAGAAATGAAGGGGTGTTGGGTTCTTTGGCAAGCGCGCAGGCGTCGCCGCCGCAATCCACCAGTCCAGTAAAGGCAATCCTGCGGGAAGATCCACCTAAACCCTAAACCCTAAACCCTAAACCCTAAACCCTAAACCCTAAACCCTAAATCCTAAACCCTAAACTCCGTGTCCCGAGGTAGCAGTTGTACCTTTGGCTGTGCAGTGCGATCAGGCCATCCCCTGCGTCCACCACCTGGGATACGGCGGTTGAGGACTTTAGGATATATAGGCGTATAAAGGGTTTAGGGTTTAGGGTAAGAATATAGGGTTTAGGTTTAGGGTTTATATAGGGTTTAGGGTTTAGGGTTTAGGGTTTAGGGTTTAGGGTTTAGGGGTTAAGGGCTTAGGGTTTACTGTAAACGCTTGCGCGCACCGCCTCGGCAGCCGAGGACAGGAAAGGAGGAAAGAGGGTTTAAAGGGGGTTAAAGGGGGTGGGGGGTGGGGGGGGGGGGGGGGGAGGGGGGAGGGGGAGGGGGGGGGGGCAGATAGGAGGGGGGGGAGGGGGGAAACCCCACTCCCCACCCTTTAACCCCACTGCCCTTCCTCCCCTTTTTTTGCGAAACCCTCTTTCCTCCTTTCCTGTCCTGGGGCCGGCCCGGCTGCCGAGGCGGCGCGCGCAAGCGTTTACAATATATAAATATAAAAAATATAAATACATAAAATATAAATATAAAATAAATATATATATATATATATATATATATATATACATATATAGGCTAGGCATATAGGGGTTTGGATTTTAGGGGTTAAGGGTTTAGGGTAAGATTCTTGGCTTTCGGATATATAGGTTGGGATGTTCCCCCTTATACTAACAGTCCTTAGTAGGGATTGCACAAGGGGGTGGTACCATAATCCCTACTAAGGGCTGTTAGTATAGGGGGGAACATCCCAAATAATAGCCCTAAACCCCAAACCCTAAACCCCCTATTGTCATCCCTATTAAGGGTTTAGGGTGAGGAAAGGAGGGAACATGCCAATGAAAAGGGCTTAACAGTTTAGGATCTGAAAAGGCTCAGGGACTAGGAGTTTCTGGTGCAGGGAAGGCTATTGTCATGGGGTTTAGGGTTTAGGGTCCGGGTCCGCCGACCCTGGCGGCGTGTTGGATGGTTTTGGGGAGGGAACCCTCCCTCCCCTCCCTTACACCCCCAAACCCCTTAAAACGTGCGTCAGTGCACAACTTTTTCGCCTGCCCCCCCCTGCCCCTCTTCTTCCTGTCTCTTGATCAGATGCCGGAACCCTCCCCCCCCCCCCCCTTCCCCCCCCGTGCTGATCGCGTGAAACAAGGTCGTTTTGTCCCCCGCCCCTCCGGGTGACTGGAACTGTGACCACGTGAAACAAGCTCGTTCTTCTCTCCCGCGACTGGCCGCCCCCCCTCAATGGCGTGTGTCGGGTCCGCGGCACCGTGGAAAACCCTAAACATCCCTAAACCCTGACCCTAGACCCTCTGGAAGGGTTGAAGGTTTACGGTTTAGGGTTTATAGGGTTTGTAGGGTTTGTAGGGTTTATAGGGTTTATAGGGTTTATAGGGTTTATAGGGTTTATAGGGTTTATAGGGTTTATAGGGTTTATAGGGTTTATAGGGCTTATAGGCTTAATTATAGGGTTTATAGGGTTTATAGGGTTTATAGGGTTTATAGGGTTTATAGGGTTGATAGGGCGTATAGGTTTAATTATAGGGTTTATAGGGTTTATGGGGGGTAGGGTTGAGGGTTTAGACCTACCTTGCAGCAAAAGCGCAGTGAAGAGTGCCGAGACAAAGTCCATGTCAACGTCCTTGGGAGTCCTGCAAAGCAATCTGGAGGAGTTCCTGCAGTTTGGGCTTCTGATGCAAGCCTTAGCGTTTATAGGCGCAGGGTTGTAATTACGCGGTTTTATCGGCTTTCGGCATTTTGGGACCGGGGTGCTTGATATTTATGGTTTGGATCATCTGCCGTTCCTGGAAGCCTTTGTGATGCTCTATGTGCCTTGGGGGACCACATGAACCCTAAGATTGGGGGTCATATACCCTATACTGCTACTATAATTCTCTTCAGGTAAAGGAACCCTAAAACCCTAAAACCCTAAACCCCAAACCCCAAACCCCAAAACCCAAACCCTAAACCCCAAACCCCAAACCCTAAACCCTAAACCCCAAACCCTAAACCCTTCTAGGGTTCAATTCGACCCCAAGGTGCTGGGACGTTTTCACCTCACCCGGGCTTGCAGCTTCATGCCTCACGTAAATATGGCGATGCTGGCCCAAAGAGCCCGATTCCCCTTGATTAAGCAATATACTCATGGGTTCCCCCCTTAATTATGGCTATTTAAGGATAATTAAGCCTAGTTAAGGTTATTTAAAGGGGGAACCTAGGGGGGGGTAGTTGTAGTAGGGGAACCCATGATATACCTGAATTTATAGAGCTTAGTTGTCCACTAACCTGGGGGAATTAAAGGTTAACCTTTGGGATTATGAGGGGAGTCTACTACCCCAAAAAGGTTAAGGGTTACCTACTCTATTACTAGGAGAGGTATCCTTCACATGATTTAGAAGGTATATTCCTTCATGATAAGGGCCCAATGGGGCTCTTTAAAGGGAGTGGATGCGATAGAGGTCCAGTGACCCTGGCAGCGCCAGCTCTGCTAGGAGTGCTCATGTCACTGATGCGGCGACCGATATGAAGTAGGGTCTTTATTTCTTGTGTCCCCGGGAGGGACACCAGGTATATACACTCACCAGTATCAAAAAGGAACCTTATGGACACCAATAACAGTAATATAGACCCTGTGTCGTATGGCGCCCGGACGTCAAACGGTGCGATCTGTGGAAGTCAGCTGAGTTTTTCGCAAATCGGATGTTTACGCAACGACTCTGCCCCACACAGGGGCTCGGGAAGTGTGGGGGGGGGGGGAATTTCGGATCCCTAACCCCTCAAGCCCTAAACCCCTTGCATTTGGGCTTCATCCTAAGCCGAGGCACCCGGAGACGGCGGAGATTTTACGGTCTGCAAGGTTGCCTGCGTGGGGGGGGGGGGGGGAAGGAGAGGGACCTGGGCGGAGGAACCCCGACAAGGGATTTTAGGGTTCAAAGGGTGTTAGGGAATACAGTTCTAGGAACTATGGAAGGGGGTTCTATAGGGCTGGGGAATGTGTCTCGGCTGTTTGCAAGCTGAGTGGCTAAGGAAGTACTTGAATGTGGGGTTCCAAAGCGCGACAGTGGAACCAATCTGCACACCACCTGGAGGTGAGAAAATCATCTCTTGCAGCAGCGAGCTTCCATGAGATGGGCTATGATATACCCTATAACCACTTGGAAAAGTCCTTTATGGGGTTGATTCTGGGAATTCTGATAGCCTAATAGCCCATCATGGTTCGGGAGCACAAAACTAAAGGAGATGGATGTTTCTGAGCATGTGATGAATCCCCGAGACGGCCTGCTCCATGTTGCAACGCAGGGTCGTAGCAATAGTCCCATTCATTCGTGCCACGTCCTGCACATCCGGGCACGAGCTCCAGCCCATCCCTCTGGAAGCACTTCAAGTTCCCCGCGCACTGTGCATCATTGTCGCAGTCGCCGGCACACCTTGCCAATGGCAACTTTGTAGGATCGCCAGCGATGCTGTCCAAGTTCGGTCAGGCAAACGAAGGATCGTAGCAGTAGTCCCAAGCTCTCGTGCCACCTCCTGCGCACCCGGGCACGGGCTCCAGCCCATCCCTCTGGAAGCACTTCAAGTTCCCCGCACATTGTGAATCCTTGTCGCAGTCGCCGGCACACCTTGCCAATGGCAAATTTGTAGGATCGCCAGCGATGCTGTCCAACTTCAAGGCATCCCAGGGGTCGTAGCAGTAGTCCCATTGATTCGTGCCACCTCCTGCGCACCCGGGCACGGACTCCAGCCCATCCCTCTGGAAGCACTTCAAGTTCCCCGCGCATTGTGAATCATTGTCGCAGTCGCCGGCACACTTTGCCAATGGCAAACTTGTAGGATCGCCAGCGATGCTGTTCAAGTTCGGCGAGGGCTCGTAGTAGCAGTAGTCCCATGCTCTGGTGCCAGCACCGGCGCACCCAGGCACGGGCTCCAGCCCATTCCTCTGGAAGCACTTCAACCCTCCCAAGCACTCTGAATCCTTGTCGCAGTCGCCGGCGCACTGTGGCAACTTTGTAGCATCCGCGTGGCGGCTGTCCAACGATGGATTACCTGGCTCATTGCTTTCGTACTGAGGGTCGTAGCAATAGTTTGAGACCCTGTGCCTGGAAATCTTCTATGAACCCGTCATACCGTATACATGGTGTGACGGTGTATGGTGCAAGATCTCGCTTCCTACGATTTGCTTGAGAAACCAGAAAAATGTATGTAAAATCATTTCTATATTGCCCTTTGTTATTCTTCTTATTATTGCTACTGCTACTATGATTATATTACTATTATTATTATTATTATTATTATTATTATTATTATTATTATTATTATTTACATTCTTTTGTTAATTCATCCTTTTTTTTTGGGGGGGGGTGTTCTTAAACAAGCAGTAGTTTACGGATGGTTCTTGTCCGGTTCAAACCCTAAACCCTAAACCCTATAAACCCTAAACCCTAAACCCTAAGCCGACGCAAGCTGTGTTCCTTGTGTGGTGATTGGACAAGCTCAAAGAAGGGCTCCCCTTCCTACCTCCATCAATAATCCCAGTGCTACCTGAGTAGAGCCTTTCCGCTGTGTCCCGCCCCGGCAGTAGGGGTTTAGGGTTAACGGTTTACGGTTTAGGGTTTAGGGCAACAAAGCCAATACCCAATAACCGGAGAGCCGTGCCAATCTCTATGCTTTGAGAGCAAAGAAAGCAGCAGCAAACTAACTGCAGGGACCCCTGCCAGGCTGAAACCGTCGTCCCGTTTTTTGGAAGGTGCCCGGGGCCCTCGAATTTGTTGGCTCTCTCCCGCTTCACGATGAGTCAGAGCGACTTCTCTCAGCCACCCTAAACCCTAAACCCTAAACCCTAGACCCTAAACCCTAACCCTAAACCCCAAACCCTAAACCCTATACCCTAAGCCATCTTTCAGGCACCCGATCACGCCTGTGCGCCTGCAAAGAAACCTAACTAAGACTGGATTCCCGCCCTCCCTGCTTCAGCCGTGCCCAGCCTTTTCCTGGGTGCTGAACTCGCACACGATTGCTTGGAAAAACTTGCCCTTATCACTTGCTGGGAAACATTCGCTCTTTTGTAAGTGTGAGTGGCACTTGAAGTGGCAGGTGTTATAGGGCTTCGGGTTGAGGGAGGGTGAGTTCTGAGAAGAAGCGAAGGGACTACCGGGATTCTTGCCGTGACTTTGCCGGTCTTCCTCGTAAGTCGCTGAGCTTTGGCTTCCAGGTGTATGCTTCCTGCTGAGACATGTATCAGATGCGTGCTTAATGGAAGTAGGAATTTCGGCCGTAAGCCTGAAACCCAAAACGGAACAAAGCTGGGATAACCCCAACGACAGGGGAGGGAAACCAGGAGCCAACGTATCAGTTTTGGTTGTTGGGCTCTCACACCAAAATGCCTTCGCGATGTATGCGCTCGCCCCCCGGAAGTTGTAAAGCTGCTGGCAGCACCCTAACTTGGATTCGATGTGTCATCTCTCGACACCTTATATGTCCTCAACCCGGCTTTTCAGCAAGCCCCAAGGCAAAGCCCAAATGGCCTTGCTCCGCCGACACCTTCGCCCCTGCCGCGGAGGTCACCAGGAGCAAGCCCAGAGAGCCCCGTAAGTTGAGGCGCATCGAGGCAAGAAGGGCTGAAGCGCACGAGAATTCGTGCTCAAACCCTTTGCAGCCTCTGAGCCAGGCACGGCTCACCAAGATGTTCATGACATGTACCCCGTTGCCCAGCATCTCATTCTCTCCGAGTCTGTCGTCTCCAAGACTCCTAGCATAGGGGCCTTAATCATGAGAATAGGTTTTTTTTGGGAAGGTTTTTGTAGAGATATAGTCATAGTTTTCCATTCCGACCCCTATATTGGGTGTTCTCGACATGTGTGCCTTTTTGGGACAGAAGACTTCCTGTCTGATCAGCCCTAAACCCTAAACCCTAAACCCTAAATCTGGCTTTCGCCGCTAAGAGGTTTACACGTGTGCTCTTTTTGCTTGAAAGGGGGGTCTCAGGGAACCTCAACCCTACTTGGAGGTTCATGGTACTTACTATATAACCAATTCTAACTGTACTTATAACCCTACTTAAAATACCCCTAAAGGGCCTTATAGGGGTTATCCCACTGATACGTAGGGTTATAAGTACAGTTATAATTGGTTAGTAAGTACCATGAACCTCAACCCTACCCACTCGGGGTCGCAGATGAAGGGACGTCAACGTCAAGATCTTTGCGTTCTAGGGCTTTGTGGCTGCAGCTTTTCCACAGTCTTTGTACCCCAGTAACCAAATTATCATAAGGGCGCCCTTTTTGGTTTGGTTCCTTACTTTATAAGGGAACCCGCCGAAAAAAGTGTAAAGGGTACCACTGGGCTGCCAAGCAATCAACCTATGATCTGCTGCTGGCGGCAGTAGCAGGCGATCTCGAAGCACAACAGATGCGTAAGGCGAGGCAAAGCAAGAACTCAAAGCAGCCACATACAGAGCCGTTGGAGCTCCCCTGGACCCTAAACCCTAAACCCTACACCCTAAACCCTATATAAACCCTAAACCCTAGCCCTAAACCCTAAACCCCGCTGCAATCAGACTGAAGCTCTCATTTCTCGAGCGGTGCTCTTCATTGCTTCTTGCTCCATGGCAAGGCCGCTTGCCTCACGCGGACCAGCGGCATCATGAACTCGGCAAAAGCCCGAAAGCTCCCAGTGTACTTACAACTGTACTTATAACCATATTAGGGTACTCCATGGGGCTTACAAGTGGGTTATAAGTACAGGTATAATGTACTTGTAACTGTAACCGTATTCGGGTACTCCGAGGGCTTACAAGTGGGTTATAAGTACAGTTATAATTGGTTAGTAGGTACCATGAACCTCCAAGTAGGGCGACAGGAGGCTTCTCAGCCCTCTACAAGCCCTCTAGACCCTCGCAACCCTCGAAGCCCTCAACTGTAAACTACCAAATGCTTAAGAACCCCCCCCCCCCCCCCCCCAAAAAAAAAAAAAAACAGAGTTCTTCCTTTTCAGGGTAATATAGTGATAATTATGTTTACTTTCGGTGGAGTCTTATGCAAATAGTAGTAAATCCTCGGGACCCTGTGGCAGGACCCAGACCTCTGCCGCACCTCCGAATTCTCAGCCCAGGCTTGCCGGGGTTAGGGTTTAGGGTTTAGGGTTTGGGGTTTAGGGTTTTGAGGTGTAGACGGATCTTCTTTTTTGCGGGGGGAGGGGGGGATTTAGGGTTTACAGGGTTGAGGGTTTAGAGGGCTTAGGGAAATTTAGGGTTTACAGGGTTTAGAGGGTTTAGGGGGCTTCGGGAATTTAGGGTTTACAGGGTTTAGGGTTTAGAAGGGAATTTCGGCTTCAGGAAGCTCGTAGGGCTTAGGTGTTGGAGCAATTAACTCCTTGAGGAGAGCCCTTTCGTCTGCTTTGGGGGGGGGGGGGTGCTGGTGGCGGCCATAAGACCCTAAACCCTAAACCCTAAACCCTAAACCTCTTTCGCCGGAATATTGGGATGCAGCTCGTCCACTTGCTACTCTTCAGTTCCTGCGCAGCCCTTTCCCCCCACCCCCCTTGTGAGATCGGGGGCCCTCGGGGGAGGGGGGGGGGGGGGGCCCATCCCGAATAACAGGGGGGGGGGGGCCTTTTTTCCCCCCCCCCCCCCCCCCCATACTATACTGAGCCGAGGATGTGGACCCCGAGGCCAGAACACATTTCGAGAAACCTGGGCTATCAGCTCCCTAAACCCTATATAAACCCAGTCCCTTGACCCTCCTTTCGACCCGAAACCCTAGGCCCTAAATCCGCGATTCTCAGCAAAATCTTGTCAAGAAACTCCTCCAAGGAACCCAAGACTCAACCCCAACCCCCCCCCTCCCCCCCCCGCGGCCCAGCCTCAATCCCCTTACCCAGAGAACAGATCCCCATAACCCTCTACGTAAGGAATATCCCTTCAGGGGTTCGGCTGTCTTCGCAAAACTGAAGGTACCATATCAGAAAAGAGTCTTGGGTGTGCTTCGGGGTTACCCCCCCCTAACGTCTTCGGACGCTCGCCCTAACCCGCGAGTCCCATCCTCGGCTTGGCTAACAGGCTTGTGTGCCCTATGGGATCCTGGTTGAACTTAGACATCTCCGAAGACGGCCTGTGGGCCGGGGGAATCTTAAAGGTCAAGCTTTCCGCTCAGCGGATTCCGCTCCTGAAACGGCTCAAAGCTCTCAAGGTTTCGGAATCCTTCTCCTAAACCCTGCAAAACAACCCAAAAGCCCCTCCCCCGAGATCCCATTTTTGAGCAGAAGCCCTGCGACTGAAGAGCAAAATCAAGGCTTCGTCAGCTCCTGCAGCGCCTCACAACTCGAAGCCGGAAGGCTGCAAGGCTTGTAGGGTTTGAGTTTCATGTTCAGGCGTGGCATTCAGGGTTTAGGGCCTTTCGGGTCTAGGGTTTAGGGTTTAGGGTTGGGATGTTCCCCCTTCTACTAACAGTGCAAAAGATTATAGTAAGGGGGAGGGGGGGGGGGGCACTATAATCCCTACCACGGACTGTTAGGGAACATCCCAAGCTTAGGGCTTGGGGTCCCTCAACCCTAAACCCTAAACCCTAAACCCTAAAACCCGAAAACAGGTGTTGCCTTCATGCGGCTTTGGGGAACCTGGGCCCCAAAGAAGCGACTCCAGCCGATGCAACTCATCTCCAAGGTGATCTGGGTCTTGTAAGCCCCCCCCCCCCCCCCCAAGAAAAAAAAAAAAAGGTGCACACGTTCAGTTCCATATAGGGGGGGGGGTATAGTATCCCAAAAAGTGCAAAGTGTACTCGTTCAGCTACTAGGAGGTGATCTGGGGGCTTGGCGAGAATCTACGCAACTGGGGATTAGGGTTTAGGGTCCCTTTTTTTTTTACCCTAAACCCTAAACCCTAAACCCTAAACTCGGTTTAGGGTTTCGGGGTGAAGTTTGGTTGTAAGTTCGAATGAGGTTGGGTTCTGTGACTTAAAGGTGGCCTGCATGGAATCAACTCATCTCCACACAGCGCTTCCTCTGCACGGCCTCCCAGGTCATAGCATTTAGGGTTTAGGGTTTAGGGTTTAGGGTTCAGCATCTCAAGTTCGAGCATTTACTAGGCCAGCAGTGTGTGTAGGCAACGGAACAAAACCCACCCGCCCAAAGAATCCCATAACATTACGAAAATAAAAAGCTTCTTAATTTCACCATGGACGGTTAAAGAGGTCAGAATTTCAGGGGTTGGAGGGGTCGAAGTGGATCAAATTCTCCAATTCGTGCCGAACAATCGGGGGTCAAAGGGGTCGGAGGGGCCGAAATGGATAAAATTCTCCAATTGGTGCTGAACAATGGGGGGGTCAAAGATGAGGGGGGTCATTTCCGCTGTATAATTTCTATTTAAAACTAACTGGGAATCGAGCCATTTTTCCCGAATCCTGGGGTACCCCCCCACGAAGCCTCCCTGAAAGGGGTCGGAGGGGTCGAAATGGATCAAATTCTCCAACTGGTGCTGAACAATGGGGGGGGTCAAAGGGTCGGAGGGGTCGAAATGGATCAAATTCTCCAATTGGTGCTGAGCAACGGGGGGGTGAAAAAAAAAAGAAATGGATCAAATTCTCCAATTGGTGTTTAACATTTAGGGTTATATGGTAGAGAGGTTTAGGGTTTAGGGTTTAGGGTGGGTTTAGGGTTGAGGGTTTAGGATCTAGGTTTAGGGTTTAGGAAGCGAGGTTCATGGTACTCCCTATCCGAATGCAGTTGTGCTACCTTTTACCCGACCCCCATAGCAACCAATGAACCTCCGAGCAAGACCTCTCCACCCCCCTCCCCCCCCCCCTGCAAACAATGTTCACGGCTGGGCTTACCCCGCACACCCTAACCCTCAAAACCCTAAACCCTAAACCCTAAACCCTAAACCCTAAACCCTAAACCCTAAACCCTAAACCCTAAACCCTAAACCCTAAACCCTAAACCCTAAACCCTAAACCCTAAACCCTAACCTTTCCCCTGATTGAAACCAAAACTCTGACAGAGGCCCAACCCCAAGATACCTTTGGCTCTCTGGGCCCAAATACCCAGAACAGCTCCCACATAGGCCCAGGGTCTCAAGCGGGGGCGAAGACATGCCACAAACGCATCCAACAACAGTGACACATGAAGACAAGACCGCAGAACAAGTCACAAGCGAGCGGAACATAGTCACAAGCGAGCGCAGATCCCTCAGAACCTTGGAGAAAGAAACCCTGAACCCGAAACTGCAACCAGAAAACCCGGAACCCTGAACCCTAAACCCGGAACCCTAAACCCTAATTAAACCCTAAACCCTGAACCCTACAAACCCTAGCGCCTTCCCAACCACGATCTCGAGCGCGCGGCCGCGCGCCGCATCCAGCGATGCCCAGCGGCGCAGCAGTCTTGCGCATGCGTAGGGTTTAGGGTTTAGGGTTTAGGGTTTAGGGGTTAGGGGTTAGGGTTTAGGGTTGAGGGTTGAGGGTTGAGGTTTAGGGTTGAGGTTGAGGGTTTAGGGTTGAGGTCTACATGCCCAAACAGAAACCCTCAACCCGACCCTAAACTTTCAAGTGCTGGGCTTCCCACTTTCCCAAGCCCCCGCCGTGTCGGGAGTCGCCTTGAGCCCCCCCAAACCC